CATTATGCAGCCCATGGCGGGCACCTCCAAAGCAGCATCCTACCTCATTACGACGCGCGACGGCGACCGGACGCACGACCCGCTCAACTCTGAGCAATTCTGGCGCCGCAAGGTCGACGACGTGCGCGACGACGAAGTCTTCTTCCACACGTACTTTGAAAAAGCCGGCAAGGCCAAGCAGGCGGAGAAAAAGACGAAGAAGAAGAACCGCAAGCAAGACGACAGCGAGGACAGCGCCGACGACGAGGAAATCTGGCAGGCTCTCGTCAAGAGTAGACCCGAAGTCGAGGGCGACGGCGGCGACGACGACGATTTCAGCGACTTCGACATGGACGATATGATGAGCGATGACGATGAGGGAGCTGGCGGCATGGACGGTGGCGTTGAATTGAATCTCGGTAGCGACGACGACGAGGAGGATCAAGACGTCGAAACGGGTGGTCAGCACGCTGCCGACGATGACGACGACGACGACTTTGCAAATTTCGATCTCGACGATGAAGACGCGTTCATGGATAGCGACGCTGATGTCCCTGTCGATCTTGACGTCGACGAGGATGAAGGCGCCGCAAAGGATGGGCGCAAGAGCAAGAAGCGCAAGCTCAAGAGTCTGCCCACATTTGCGTCTGCGGATGATTACGCCAAGTTGCTCGCTGATGAGGATAGCGAGTAAGCTTTTCGGTCTTTTGCGTTGATATAGTTTTTTTTTTCTCTTGGCAGAAGATGGATTATCCTTTTTTCTTCTCTTTCTCTCCTCAACTTGAAAGATTAAGAAGATTTTTTGTTTGGTCAACTTGTCATGTGAGATCGTGGTGCTTTGATGTCGTTAATCGTTGTTTTGTTGTCACAAGTAAAAGGAACGCGTCGTTGTATACGCCCCACGTTTATTTTCTTCATCGCGTTCGAAAGGGGGATGGATGTAGAATTTGGGCAGTTGGTAGATTATTCACATACCCCCATCCCTTTGTTAATAGAACAACTGTGTCTTGAAGTGGGGAACAAAGTTCCTTCTCTCTACTCCAGTTAAACTTGTTTTTTTTTCTTGCCTCTTTTTTTCGATATGCCATTTGGTTTGTGAGGATGGGTGTTCCAAGCTCAGGCGAGTGGTTATGCTTTATAGAAATGTGTTTCACGAATATGGGTTTCCATACTGTTTCTACGTTGAACGCAAAAAAGGAAGTAGATGAAACCCGATCAAAAATCAGCCCCAAAGTTTCGATATGCACGAGGAATCATGCATTTCTGTTCGACTGTTCCGTGTCCGAGACAATGGGAAACATGCAATCCCCATCTTTCCTTGTAGAAGTAGAACCCCGGGTGTTTCGACGCAAAACGGCTGCTGGAACGTTGACAGTCTGGTGTTCATGTTTGTTTTCTCTCTTTCAATTCTCACATTGCTCGATCCCCATTACGCATTTTGCGAATCAGGAATACTATGCATCACTCTGCCGCGTTCTAAGGTACTGTTACCCAATATTTCCTTGGCAAAGACCCTTCTTGACGGCATCGTTTCCCCCTTTTAGCTATACGGACTTGCTTTTTTGGTGTGGAGAAGATCTGGTGACCTGGGGTTTGTCTGTGCGTGTGATTTGTTAATTTGATGGGAGGGTAGAGAGTATGGATCGCGATTTAGAATATTTGTTGGATATTAGTTAGGTAAAGATGGATTGGGATTGAGGGGGCATGGTATGGGTATAGGGGATCATGCTAAACGTGAGAAGTTTGTGTGTTGATGCGACAGATGCAAGAGGTAAAGGAATGGGCTTGGGCGGGTGATGTTGAGGTGGGGAAAAGGAATGGGAAACGTGAGGTAGACTGTGGTGTTTTAGTCGTAATGAGGATAGAGTTTCGTTTGGATGCTAGAGCACGGAATGGAGATGGAGATGGGCAAGTAGAATGTGTGCGTGGAAGAAGACTGTGTGGTAAGCTACCATTGCAGCTGATGGCTGGTCAAATTGAAGCTCGGTTTTGGAACACGCCGTCTCTGTCCGAAGATACTCATGTCTGTTTGACAGTGTCACCTGCCTGTAAACGTCACGTTAATGTCAAGAGATGTGCTGCGGATGGAATCGAGATGATGAGAAAATCAGATGGTGTTGAGACGAGGGCCGATGTAACGTTCGTGAGACAGAGGTGCAAAGTTGCGGGCGGGCAAGCGGGCTGGTGAGGTTGGGAAGCGCCACTAGTCAAGGCTAGTTGGCCAGCCTCCATGCAGCCAATCCAGCCATTCTGTTTCGAACGTGTGTAGTGATGGACATAGAGTTTGAACGTAGTTGACCGACACTTTGGTACGCAGCAAACAAGCAGCGACAGCAGGGCGACCAAGCTGAACAGACGGTGTGCGGTGACTGAGTGCAGGTGTCGCTCAGGAGACCATGCAGGGCCAAGGCGAGGGCCCCATTCCGCCGTTGTCGAAGGATGCCACCCACCTTTTGCTTGGAGCGAACCCGAGGCCATACTCAAACGGGTCCCGGTTGCCGCTCCAGCCCCTTGGCTGCGCCCCTGCGTAACCCACTCGCTCACATTTACGAAGAGCCATACGAGATGATGCTGTCGGGCCTAATTTTAGAGCCTTGCAGCTTCCGAGAGGACGCGTAATGCCGTGTTGTTTGCCATTATTGAATAAGCGATATTAGCCATTGTTGGCGGGTATTGCATGCTGAATGCCGTGGATGTCGTAGTGAGTGGGTGTAGGTGCAAGTAGGGTCAGTCTTGCAAAGAAAGGGCTAAAGACAAGCAAGCGTTGACAAGCTTATCGATTGAACACGTGACGGGCCGCAGTGCTTACTGTCACTGTACTTGCTGTTCTGCCCTACTGCCGCCGGGGCCTGCGTGTAGTCAGAGTACAATGTGAGTAGCAGACAAAACGTTGGGGAAAACACGGCCAAAGGGGTGCGCGCGCCGTTTGACGAGAGCCAGTGCGCCCAACGGAGCGTCGAGCATTGAAAAATTGCCATGTTAAAAGTGGAGAGGCTGAAGCTGAAGCCGGGGTCGACAGGGCAATTGACGGGGGACATGACGACAGCATGCGCTTTGTTTCTGCGGGAACCCGCACACCACACGACACCACCACTACACCGCACTGCGCTGCGCTGCGCTGCGCAGCGCTGGGAGAAGGCTGGAAGATGGCGAGAGGTTTGCTGAAACTTGGGATGAGGCTGGGCTGGTCAGCGCCAGAGATCCGCCTGACAGCTCGCCCTGCATGCGGTGCGATATTTTTGTTTTCCATCTTTGGGCCGGCATGCTGAGACGACAATGGGACCAATTCCTTCCTTTCTCGGCGACCAAGACAATATCATTGTGTGTGCTGCTTGTAGGTAGTTGAGTAATATTGGCACATGTGTCGCGATCAGCGTCTGCAAGGACGATGGGAAATCAATAAAAAAAATATCTCTCCGCTGCCACAACGGACGCGAAACACGGTCGCCACCAAACAGGGCCACTATTGGCTGTGCTGGCCGCTAGCAGCTTGTCACAGCGCGCTTTGACCTATCTGGGGCTAGCGTGGGGCTGGCTGGTTGCCTGGTCAGGGTGGCGCGGGCCTCTCGGGCTAGTGTTAGCTCGTATGCCTGTTCCTCAGGAGCGGGTGATGAGAACAGCGGCAATAAAAGGAGGGCGCGTCGCGTACAATGATAATTCTTTCTCAGCTCCATCTCATCTCGCTCCAGTCGCTACTCGTCTGAATCGCTATTGCAAACTTGACCTTCATCGTCAATTTCCAATCCCTCAAAGACGCGTCTTTTTAATACCAACCACTACCACCACCACCCGAAAAAAACAAACACCCACATCTCTACCACCAAAATGCGTGCCTCCATCTTCGTCTCCACCGTGGCTTTTGCCCTTGCTTCGGCTCAGGTACGTTGCATTCTTCTGCATTGCCAAATTTCCCATGATCTGGTTCTGACATGAGTACCATAGAACTCTTCCCCGTCCGAGGACCCTGCTCCCCAGACTGCTTTCCTGACCCAGACAAACTCTCTGGGCGTCGTTACCGGCATGCCCCCTGTTGACACCTCCATTGCCAACCAGCCCGACGCCGTCACCGACCAGCCTGCTGTTGTCACTTCTCAGCCTCTTCCCGCCAACATTCCCGCCGTTGGCCCTGGTGTCTACACCCTGACCCTCGCCGGCACCGGCACCGGCACCGCTGTCAACCAGACCCGCACTGTCACCGTCAGCGCAAACAACAGCACCACTGTCGTCCTTGCTCCTGCCACCACCGCCTCCGGCGCTGGTGCTACCGGCAGCGGCTCCTCCCCGTCTGGTGCTTCTCGCTCTGGCTCTGGCTCTGGTGCCTCTGCTACTGGCAGCGGCAGCCGCCCCGACTCCACTGGCGCTGCCTCCAACGTCAAGGTCGCCGCCGGTAGCCTCATGGGCTTCGGTGCCTTCATGGCCGCTTTCCTGTAAACGCTCTCTTCCCCCACTGAGACGCGTTTGACGATTTGATTTTCTGTTCTATTTCGTGGAGAGAGATGTTTTGATCATGTTCGGAAGTAATGTCCTTAAAGATACCTTAGCATGTCGTTTTTTTACCCCGAAAACGCTACTTGGCGCGCCCCTCTTAGCACTGGCATGTGCTTTTGCATGGGAAAATTTGGAGCCCTGTTTTTTGTAATGTCTGTTATTTGACGGTGGAGGAACATATCATGAGGCAACTGAATGAGCCATGTGGTATTACTACGCCGCTGGGGTTTTTGGGGTTTCGGTTCTTGAGTTGTACTGTAGCTGGAAGAAGACGAACACCCATTACCAAAATCTTAAAAACATTTGAAACAATGTACTACCTACTTCAATCTGGTGGGACTCTAGAGTGACAGGAAACTTTTTGCTAAAGCTGCACTCACATTAGCGTACGCCAAAACCAACATTGATATGTAGCAACTTCCTCTCGCTCTCTCGCAAAATCCCACAAAACCGTTTCCCGTTCTTCATTCCTTCTTCCAGCCATTCAGCCAGCCAGCCATCCAAAAGAAAAAAAAACCCCCCCATCCTCCACAATGGCGTCAGCCTTGCCCTCGCTCAAACACCTAGGCACTCTCCCCTACACCACCCCCGCCAGCCGCCTCCGCACCCTCGACATCTGGCTCCCCGCGTCCCCAGAAACGGCACCTTCACTCTGGCTCATCTACCTCCACGGCGGCGCCTGGCACGACCCGCTCCAAGACTCGACCTGCATCCACCCCCTCCTCACCCACCTCAGCAGCACGCACGCCTCGACGCTACCCCAACTCGCCGGCATCGCAAGCCTCAACTACCGCCTCTCGCCCTACCCCGCGCACCCCACGCACCCCAGCTCCCCCTCTGACCCGGATCGCTCTGCAAAGCACCCTACACATGTCCGCGACGTAGCCGCCGCTCTACGCTTTCTCGCGCAGAACCATGGCATGAAGCGCTGGATCGGCGTCGGCCATTCCTGTGGCGCAACAATGCTCGCGCAGCTGGTTTCGGGCATAGGCGCCGACACTGGTGTCGCAGAGCCACTTGCGGGACCAGAGGCGTTGGTGTTGCTCGAGGGCATATACAACATACCGCTTCTGCTGCGGAACCACTCGCCGCCCACGTGTCCGGTGCATATTTCAGATATATACCGGTCCTTCGTCGCCGACGCATTCGGGGCGGACGCAGACGAGAAGGCCTTGTTGGAAGTATCGCCCGTGTCGGGAAAATACAATATTGAGCAGTGGCCCCAAGGAAGGTTGCTGCTTATTTGCCATAGCTACGAGGATGAGCTTGTGGAGCGGGCGCAGCGCGATGTCATGTGTGTGGCGCTGGATCGGCAGGGGTGGAGTATAGTCATGGAGGCTGGCGATGAAGAGGATGAGGTCAGGGCCGAGGGACGCAGAGTGCTTAATGTGAGGGATTTGAAGGGTGGCCATGATGAGATTTGGGAGGATGGGAGACAGATTGCTACCTTGATTGCCGAGGTGGTGCAACGGTTAACCTGACTATGTAAAGTTAGAGATATAGAGTACTAACATCTAGACGAAAAAAAAAGGGCTACAATCACATCACACAAGAACATATACCATGTGCTGGGCTTGGTTTCAAGTCATATTCATTGGCTGCTACGATTCCTTATTAATATACAAAGGGATGGAGTCTTAATGCACCAAGCAAGACTCCTCGGGAAATGCTTTTCAATGGCCCGTATCCAATAACCCTCATGCAATCGTTTCGTGGGCCGTGCTAGTTATACAGCTTTGTGTAATGTACAATCGTATCGCCTTCCCATTCTACCTATTCGCTTCCTTCAACCACTATCCATGATTACCTGTTGTTCAGCCTCTGGTCCATGGCCTTGTTGATCTCGCTATGCACCTCACTAGTCCCGCTCTCGACATTGTTCAACTTGTTCTGAAGCTCTTTGATCTTCTCGCTAGCTTGTGTGCTGGCTCGTCCACCTTCGATTGACTTGGAGGCCTTTGCTTGCGAGGCACTGACATTGCCGTAGACTGCCATGGCACTGGCAATCATGCCGCTGATGTCACCCACATTACCAGGAACCACAATGCTGGTACCCTCTTTGGCAAGGTTACCAAAGGCATCGACATACTTTTCAGCAACAGAGAGTGAAATGGCATTCTGTGCGGCACCTTCGCCTTGAGCAATGGAGCGTGCAACAGCATCGATACCATTGGCTGTAGCCCTGGCCTTGAGCAAGATAGCCTCGGCTTCTCCGCTTGCCATGTTGATTTGCTCTGCTCTCAGAGCCTCGGATGCCAGAATCACAGACTGCTTCTTTCCCTCAGCAATGTTGATAGCAGACTGTCTTTGACCCTCGGATTCCAGAATCTCGGCTCGCTTGGATCGTTCAGCAGTGACTTGACGGTGCATGGCTTCGACAACCGGTTCGGGTGCATGGATGTCACGGATCTCATAGCGCAGGCAAGTAACACCCCAGTCCTGGGCTGCCTCGTTGATGGCTGCAGTGATATTCGCATTGAGGTTGGCGCGCTCCTTGAGGACGTGGTCGAGGGAAAGCTGGCCGATTTCGGAGCGCATCGTCGTCTGTGCAAGCTGGGAGATGGCATACTCTGCGTCTTCTACGCCATAGCTGTTTGAATTTAGTATCTTGGTAGCTTCCAATACATCTGGCAGCACTCACCTCGCCTTGTATGCGTCAAACACACGAGTGTACAATACGCCATCGAGCTCGAGTGTGACATTGTCGGCTGTGATGGCGCTCTGGCTAGGTATCTCAATGGCATTCTCTTTGAGACTCTTGACATAGGCTATCCGGTCAATAAAGGGTATCAGAATGGCCAGACCAGGCTCCAGTATGCGGTTGAACTTTCCCATGCGCTCGACTATCCATGCTGTCTGCTGCGGCACAAAGCGAACAATGGTATTGGTGGGCAGGCGCCTGTGTGACGAGGAAAAGTACGATGGAGGCCCCGATGCAGATGTCAGCTGGCCGAACGATGAGAAGACACTTGTCGGGTTCGTGGCGGACTGTGAGCTGAGGTGCGAGTTGCCGCGGGCCGACAATGTGGTCACTGCAGCAGCCAGTGGTGTTATCCTCGAGTTTGCCAGTGGCCGCGAGCCTCGTAATAGTGTTGAAGCCATGGTGGCTGCCAGCCGTGTGCGCGACGCCATGGCGAGTTCAATTGTGGCTACGAGACGGTTGATGACGGACACGCGATGCTCCAACTATCTAGTAGTAGCGACGCCATCGGCCCAGGACTGATGGCATCGCCGACCGCCGCCTTACATAATCAAGCGCCCTGGTCATGCACAACGATTACCTAGAAGGGAAGTGTGATGGGAGACACTGCAGGTGCGAGTAGCAAGGCCATAAAACATGTGAGCTCCATTAATCAATTACACCTCTCTAGCTAGACCTGTCCTCTGTTTGTTGACAGGCATACCGCATATATGTGAAGCTCATATGCTGAGTAAAACGTAGTCTATTTTGCTGCTATGCCGACCCCAAATCCATGGTATCAGTCCTCGGTACAATAAATCCTGTCACAATACCCCAAACGCCGCGCTATGCTTGATAAAAATCGAAATGCTAGTCCTCCTTTTACAACTTGACTTTCTTCACAGGCTTCTGCTCCGATGCATCATCCTTCTTTCGTTTGAAGATGCTCTGACTCTTCATTTGTCCAAGGCCAGCCTTGTTAGCTGGAGCGGCCTTTGCCTTTAGGCCGAAGCTTAATTTGACGGGTGCTGCATCGACCTTCGCTTCCTCGTCGTCTTTCTTTTCTTCACCTTGCTTCTCCCCATCAACCGGCGAATCTGATTTGTTGCCTTCTGTTGGAGAGGCCTCTTCCGCAGGTGGAGTGACTTGTTGTTGGATCGCTGCCTGGGCTGCGGCTCGTTTTGCTTCAATGACCTTTTTAGCTTCGGCTTCTTCCTGAGCACGCTTTGCCATCTTTTTCAGCATCTTGTCTTCGCCGGCTCCGCTGCGCGCTTCCGCGGCCTCTAATTCTGCAATTTCGTTGCGTCTCTGTACCGCCGCAGCACTGGTATCTCGCCATGCGATCATCAAGCCGTCCTTTTCGTCTTCCTTGACATGACAAATTCCCTCGCGACCAAGATGCTTTGTAAATTCTGTGAGAGAACTCCATTTCGTAGCGTTCACTGTTGATGATTAGTATATTTCCGAAACATTGAGGGTCTTGGTGTACTCACTATGTACATGCTCCTTATCCCTAATATACTCGTTGTAGAATTTGTTCGCAGATATCCACTGCGGCCATGTTAGTTGAACAGCGTTTTATCAAAGCCAAGGAGACTGTACAAACCTTTTCGTTATGCGCCGTCCGCAACAAATTGACGAAATCCCTCTGGAAATCATTACTGAAGTTGTTGATAAACTTCTTTGGGTCCTCGCCGACAATCTGGAGATTCCTGACATGGCTCTCGCTCTGTACGTGGCATTTAAATCCGTTGGCGTCGCGACATTGCTTCTGGCAGGGCTCACACCACCAGCGCAGGCGCTGCAGCCCCTTTGACTTCATCTTGTTCGCGACCCATTTTGTACTACCGGCTTCTGCTTTGCCCATGGTTTACGTGTGTGTATGTGTCGGTGTCGGTGTGTGATGTGCGTATGGTCGAGTCGTGAATGCGCGCGTGGTATTCTGTGTGCAGCGTAGTCTAAGTACGGTGTAGAACGTGTTATCGTGTGTCCTGATCGTTACAACTACAGAATGACCGTAGTGCAGCGGGTTGCAGTAGCAGGTGGGGTAGCGGGGTGTGTGGTGGTCGAGTGAGAGAGTTGAATGCAGAGTTACGGAAATCTAAACACATCGGGCTGACTAACACAGAGATCGCCACCCGCGGCATCCTAGTCTTGGCACTGGGGAACAGAACCAGGGTTCTCGTGCACGTGCCTCTTTCCTCAAATATATCATAATCATGAGGCATGTAGAACTCGAGTCCTCAGAAGCTATAACATTTCTATAGATTTAGAAATTACTAGTAGAGTAGTAATTACTACAGCCGTACGCGATTATCCCCAAGTCCCTGCCATTCCGTCTTTCCAAATGGTGAATACATATTACTACTAGGCGGCAGCCAGTATAACTTATCTCCGCCCGTAATTTTCTCCGGGTCTATACCTTCCTGTTTGAGGCGCCCTTTACTAACCATCATTGTTCCTGTATATTCGAGTGCCGGAGTAACTCTCAGGAACAGCGGTACAGCATAGCCCGGCAACCGAGCTCGGGCGTGCTCTGCAAGGCCAACGAAGTTGAATGTCGACTCTGTCACGCCGTCTGCCATGACAATTGAGGCTGTGCCAGCTCGGCCATCGTGACCTGGCACAAGGACACCATATATAGTGGTTTCAGCAATCTGGGGGAATGTGCCCATCATGTCCGCGATTTCATGGGTAGACACGTTTTCGGATTTCCAGCGAAACGTATCGCCGAGTCGATCGACAAAGAAGACTCGGCCTTCAGCGTCTTGCCGAAACATGTCACCGGACTTGAACCATCTATCTGAAGTTAGAATTCTTTCGCCAGCTTGGCATCGTAGAGCTTACATGTCACCCTTTTCAAACACATCTGTAATTAGTCTCTTCTGCGTGGCCGCCCCGTTATTATAGTAGTTCGGTACAGTAGCCATCGTTCCAGGTGTGAGCCGATAAAGCACTTGACCGGGTTCATTGACACTGCATCGTATCGCAAATCCCTTGCGGTCTCTCACGATCTCTTCAGCATCGAGATCCATCTTGACCAGTACTTCCTGGTTTCGAAATTTCCAATTCCAGATCAACCCTCATAGCCCAATACAATTTGCTGTAAAAGGACCCGCGTTACGATTGAATGACGATCCGAGGCCATCGGTTGCGGCGAAGAGCTCGTGAATGACTGGTATGTTGAAGCGCTCACGGAACAGTTCCCACACGTCTGGACGCATGCCATTGCCCCACGCCATCTGCACCTTATGGTCCCTTTCGTACGGGCTCTTTGGGCCATTAAGGAGATATCGACATAACTCACCGACGTACTGAATGATGTTTGCCTTTGAAGCCGCAACTTCAGGCCAGAACGTCTTGTGTGAGAATTTCCTGCCTAATACCACTGTACCTCCGCCATGAATAGTTGTTGCTGTACAGAGGTTGTGTCCAGCGCCATGGTAGAGCGGCATACATGTATACATTCGACTTTCAGGCTTGATATTTAGATGTTCTGACATTGACCAGCCAACCATAAGCTCGCGAAGGGAGGTTATGCACACACACCTTTGGGCAGGCCAGTGGTTCCAGATGTGTATAGTAGGCTTCGCACCGACTCTAGTTTAATGTTTTCAGTGCGACTGTCGGGAATGGCCGTGGTGTTTGATAGCGATGAAAAGAACGATGGATTATAATATTGGATTTTGATGTCCGTCTTCTCGAGTTCGTCACGGCACGGTTCAACATTCGCTTTAACATCGATGTCTGCAATGACGAATCGAGAATTACACAGCTGGGATGCTTGTTAGATGCAATACTATGTAATGTATGATCGAAGGATTTACCTTTATGCAGTGAACCAACCCCGCCCCTGTCAGGTTCCAGTTCAAAAAACTCGTAACCGCACCGATTGCATCAAGTGCAAACCAAAGCATGAGATGTTCCGGACTGTTCCCACCATCAACTGCGACTATCTCCTCTACCTGTACGCCCAGCTCATCAACTAGCCAGTTCGCAACCCTCGTATATGCCTCAGAGAACTCCTTGTACGACCATGTCTTGCCCTCAAAGACAAGAAAGGGGTGGTTTGGTTGTTTTCGGACCTGATCTTGAAAGACATGATACGTGAGAACGCGTTTTTGTGCGATGCGACTGTTCAAGAACTTAGTGTCTCCAGACGACTGCGTTATTCCACCAATGCTCTTAAGGTCGTGGACTATATGGTATTTGGCGTTGATGTAGGCAATGAGAGCTGCAGCACCAGCACCAGCAACGATGGGTACTGATGAGACTAGTTACTAATTCCTCTAGATCATTGTACATGTGAGCTTCAAGCATACACTCCATAATGGTTTTACTTCTGAGGTATTCCTTATCCTTTGACTACTTTGACAAGAGCAGTAAATATTTGTCCACATCTTGACCCTCGACCCAGTCCCTATGTGAAAGCCGAGGGTTTTACAATTATACTGACTCGCCTTGTTTTTTATAGCGTGGTTTAAGCATACTAGACGGGCTAATACAGCGGCGCCGAGGTTATTGGCTATTAGGGAGTTACTTGCGGGGTAAGTAGACTCAGTTTCCCCGCATTTTCAGGGGCACAAAAGAGATGATTATCAACACCCTAGTTGTCTGATACAATGATAGTTACGCGTCTCGTAGATGGAAAACAAACAAACAAACGTAGCATTTTCAATAGTCAGATACTCAAGACACATTTCCCCTGTTTCATCTATCGCTGTACATGGCTGATTTGCAGACGGTCAATTATTTGCTCGTTCGCTGCAACGCTTCCCACACTCTCATGATATACGCACACCGACACTACGCCCACTTTGACCACAAAACCTCTTCTTCATACCAAACACACATCCGGCTGTCCATGTATACTTCGTCCTCACCCAGCCTACTTTGCTCACACACTCCGTACCAATACACTCCAAAACACACAAAAACAACCATCCTTTGCTTCCTCATCCGTCATAGTATTACTACCCCAACAAAAGACCGACTCGCCAACCAAACAACACTTTTTCACGCGAACAAGACCACACTGGTGAGACTCGTCGGCCCTGCTAGTCTACTCGCCGCCAGGCCCATCGCTGAGCATGCCAACACACAAGAGCAAATGACGACCGCATTTTCTCTAAAACAAAAAAGCTCAGGGTATCAGGAAGTGGCGTACGACTAAGCAAAATCGGCAGAGTAGGAGAAACCACGGAACTCTTCTTGCATGGCTTGTGAAAGAACTAGATTTGTTGTCAGCAAAATTTCCCAAACATGACATGGCTACACGGGTCCACATACCAGACTGCACAGGTGTAAGCACTGGCGTCACACTCGTAAACTCGGTATCAAAATTGCTCGTGTCCGTTGGGCTCGTAATCTGTGGAATAAATGGTGGCTGTACTCTCTTGTGGTAGATGTCGTCCCAGTTGATGTTCCTGAAGAAGGCATGAGACATGATCTCCTGTGCATCAGTCGGTCCAGATCCTAGACGCATCTCAGGCTCACGGGTGAGTAGCTTCTGTAGAATTGATACAGAGTCACGCGGCATGTGGATGGGGTAGAGCGGCTCGTCGGCAAGAATGGCGTCGTAGATTTCGTCTTCGTCCTCACCACGGAAAGGCGACTGCTGAAGAAGCATCTGGTAGATAAGAACACCAAATGCCCACCAGTCAACTGCGCGTCCGTACTTCTTATCCAAGAGAATCTGGAGGATCAAACATTAGAAATGGTCGTTTTGGGTTAAAAATGCGACTTACTTCTGGTGCCATGAACTCAGGAGTACCACAGAATGTGCTGGTGGTTGAGCCATACCACATCTCCTCTTTACACAGACCATAATCGGCAACCTTGATGTGTCCGTCAAGAGTCAACATGATATTGTCGAGTTTCAAATCTCGGTAAATGACACCGTTCTCATGGAAGTACTTGAGGGCGAGGCAGACTTCGGCCGCATAGAACCTGTTCTAGCGTTAGCAAGTGCTTCTTTACCCATATAGTGAAAACGTACTGTGCGCGTTTTGTGCCGAATTGCCCACGTTGAATGTGCAACATCAAATCACCACCACTGATATACTCCATGACGAAGTAGACTCGTGTCTCAGTTTGGAAACAGGCGTGGAGGTTCAGCAAAAAGGGATGCCTCTCCTTGTTGGCAATCAAGAACACTCTCTTCTCCGACCGCGTACTCTCCACTTCATCGTTCTCGATAATGAATTCCTTCTTCAGAACCTTGATGGCGTAGAGCTGCTTGGTGGTCTTGGTTTCAGCCAACATGACCTTTCCAAAGTTACCTTTACCCAAAACAGCAAGGAAGTTGAAGTGGTCCAATCCTATCCTCTTGCCAGTACCCTGTGTGTTGGCTGCGGGAGTAACCTTCTTTCCTGGCGCTTCTCCCACTGCAGATGGAGGCGGCTGGGTGAGCGCCTGCGGCTCCGGCATCTTTTGTTGCGCAGGCGTTGGTTGCTGCGGATGTTGTGGTGGCGATTGTGGTGGCGGGGGTTGAGGCAGAGGATAGGAGGATTTCGTTGGGTAGGACGGCACGGGTGCGGGCTGTTGGTGACTTGGTGGGTAGCTTGGAATGTTGGCGTAGACTGATGGGTCATAGGCCGCTGGTTGGGGTGCTTGCTGCTGTGACATACGTTGCTCTGTTGGATATCCACTGCCAGATGATCGTCCGCTTTGAGGTGAATAATCTGTGTTGCTGCGGCCATATCCAGGTTGTGTGGCTTTGTTCATTGCTGCTGCGGCCGCAGCTACTGAAGACTGAGTGCGTGGGCCCGAAGGGGGTCTCGATCCCGAAGTCGGCGATGTAGGAGCTCCAGTGGATCCCGTTCCCGTTGTTGAGTAAGAGGCGCGCGCAGCATCAACTGAAGTTGCTGATGAAGGATAAGATGGCTGTCGTGGCGGACCGGGTGGAGGACTCATTTGTTCCTTGCCGTAGGAGTACCTATCGGATTGGGTTGGTGATTCCTGGCCTGGCTGTCCAGGAGATTGAGGCTGCGTCGGTGGCAATGGCTTCGCCGCCGATTGCGGTCTCAGAGTGCGCTGGCTCATACCAGGGCCTGATGAAGATTGACCTCTTCTGGTTCTCTTAATCTCCATTAGAATCTGGTTGGCGACTTCCATGGACATTCCGCAAAAGTCTGGTACAAAGTGAACGCAGTGAGCGTGACAAGTGAGGCCACATTCTGCAATGAAGTTAGTATGATATTAGAGCTGGCGGCCATGTCGAGATACTCACCATTACACTTCTTAGTCTGCTTCCGGCCAAGTGGAAGAACGTAACCGCAGTGACAGCACCAATTGGCACCCATATTGGAAAAGTTCTCGAAACGATGTGGAATTCGGTGGTTGAGCTTTGCCTCGTCGGGATCGGTCTCGGCATTGGACTGGGTGATACACTTTGTGACGACTTTGGGATAGCATTTCTTGTGGCAAGTATAATTGCAGTCGGAGCATTGCATGCCTGCAGCATACTTGAGAAATTCGGCACAGAGAGCGCAGCGCATGACGTTGTAGAACTGCTGTTGCACAAACTTGTGTCCATACTGCTCGACCACATCCTCTTTGCGTTGACGGACAGCACCCTTACGACCGAGACCAAGATCAAAGGGCTGCTTGTTGCCTGTGTTCTTGACAAATGACATGGTGAGATGGATGCGGCCAACCGGCTCCAGTGAGAACCAGTCATCAATCATGATAGGCCCAGTTTGCGGCTGCGGTGCCCCAGGCGGTCTCACACCGGCAGGAGCAGGACCTCCACCAGGACCGCCAGCGGGGGTTTGTCCTGGGGGTGGCTGAAACTGCATGTCGGGCTGGATTCCAGTGTGGCCTCCCATCTTGTCAGCAGCGACCCAGCCAGAGTTTGCAAGCTCCGTCTCAATCTTCTTCCTGCGCATCTCCTCGGCAATATCGGATATGCGTACCCACAGCATGCCAATGGGCAGAAGATGGTCGCCCGTCTTGTCGTAGACTGTGATTTCAATCTCATTTGCCTTGTCGATGCTGAAGTCGTGGACTTCGTCGGTCCAGCGGTCGTTTCTTGTTGGCTTGGTACGGCCTTTGATGGTGTCCTCGACCTTGATGTTGACGAAGGTTTCTGGGCCCCGACTAAAGCGCCCAGTGGCTGCGTGATCAACATCGGCAACAGCGTGTATGCGCAGAGACAGTTGTCCGCTGAGGGGTTTTCTTTGGCTGGGAATATCGAGACTATCGTCTGTACGATGGTCAGTCTTTGGACGAAATTGCAGCTTCTTCCTTTGTGGAGCTTACTATCGTCGCCGTCACCGTCAATATCAACATGAAGATCCTCGTACCGCTTCAGCGAGTGCTTGAGCAGCTGGATCTTCTGGTTACTCTCGATGCGCTTGGCCTCGGCATCCTGCTTGCTCTTGCGGTCGCCTTCCATTTGGTATAGGCGAACCATCTTCTCAATGCCATCCTTGTACTGTTTTTCTACACTGAGCTTGAATTCAAGTTGGGTCAGCATGAGCTGGATGCGGGGACCGAGATGCGGGGTGTCGTATTTGATAAGGTCTGCACTTGTTAGCATCGCATATGGCGGGGAGGGAGTGGCAAAGGCATGTACCCAGCTTGCTGTAGTTGGGGCGTTTGTTAGCTGTGCCAGGCGGCGGTGCGGCAAAAGGCGCGCGAGGAGGCTGCAGAGCGTCGCCGCCGCTGAGCTGGCTGTACTGGCTCTGAGGCCCGCCGTAGCCGCCCTGGTCCTGCTGCGCGTAGCCGTCCCAGTTGTCCTTTGGCGGAGGGGTCAGGGGATTGGTGGGGGAGCGGCCTGGCTGCAGATTCATGCTGTCGACACCCGACGTGGTGCGCTGCAAGTCGAGATCGCGCAGCTTGGACTCGAAGTAGTCGATGTTGCGGCGGCCGTCCTTGATCTGGCCGTCGAGGCGCGAGAGGACGGCCGGGTTGTTGGTCGACTGGCGCATGGCATTGGCGGCGTTGATCAGGGCCTTTTCACGGTCGATTTTGCGCTGCACATTGGCAACGGTCTCCTCGACGTTGGCCATGGCGAGGACGTGGTGTGGAGGAGGGTTCGGCGAAGAAGGCGGGTGGGGGGAATTTCTTCGCCGATGGAGGCAACGGCGTGCTCAGGTGCCTGGCCGTCGCTGGGCTGGCTTGGGGGGGGGAGGAGGGGTGCGCCGGCACTGATACAGACCGACACTGGGGGGGTGCAAGCAGGCAGACGGGCAGACGGGCAGTCTCTGGGCGTGGAGGAGCCGCTGCAACGCGTCTTGGAGCGAGCGATGGGGCGCGCGTCCAAGAGAAGAGTCGGGTGGAGAGGCCTGGGGTCAATGGCGGCGGCGGTATGGTGCTGCTGTGGTGATGTCGTCGGGCAGACAGCGATTTAGCTCACGCATAAGGCGGCTTAGCGGAGCCCCACTTTGCTCCCCCCTCTCTGCTCTCTCTCTCTGCTATTGAGTGCGGTCAGTGGCGTTGCAACGGGCGCAGACTGTGGCTGTCGTGTCGTCCTATTATTTCTATTCGTCCTCGTCCTCGTCTTGGTCTTGTCCTTATCTATCTCCTGCTCTTGCTGGCCCCTGGGTGGTGTCGTGTGCCTTTGTCAGCGTGTTGGGGCGGCATAAATCAGACAAGGCGATATGGATGGTATGACGACGCGACGGTTGGGGGGCGGGGTGAAGACGAACGCTCCTTCTCCCTCACTCGCTCACCGTCACATGCGACTCGGGCAAGCACCTGCCGACGACACCAACATGATGCCTCTACTCTCTAGTCATGCCACCTCGTACTACTACCCATCGTCGCCTCCCCCCTCACATTGTTCGCATCGCCTTTGTCCCTCGTATCTGCTCGACGGCACATGGCCTCGTTTTTGCCCAATTGGGCACCGACGCTCGGTGTGTACAACGCCTGATGCTCTACTTGTACGAGTCTTGTCTTCGCCGCCAAACTGCACATCCCACCTTGCACAACCCTCTGAAACCAATATCAGGGGTGCCATCCCTTCTTACCCATTTTGCATCAACTGCTCTACTACAGCTACCTATAGCAGGCGCCTTTGCATTGCACTCACCCAAGTCATGCGCTCAAACTACTAGACGTCTAACCAAAGTTTTGACGTCGTTGAACGTCAAAATGTCACAACACCTAGCAATACCGTCAGCCGAAACCAAAAAATTAACAAGTGCCAACGTTCCTTCTCCCTGACTGATGTTCGTCACGTGGCCAGCCCAGCCTATACTCACAAGCGACTGGAGCTTGGCCTACCGCTTTCAACCACCATTCACAGCTTTCTACACAACTCTGCAAACTATATAAGAATCCCATCCAACCATAGTTAAAGATCCATCTCTGCAAAAGCAATAGCCCAAGTAGAGGCAGCCCAGTGGCGCGTCTCACAAGCGGCCAAGCGACCACTAGGCTACTGATCTGCTTAGCCGGCAATTCATCTTCCGCGAATTGTGGAGAAGCTCGCCAAGTTCACCTTAAAAGATTGAAAAGTCAAAAGCGCGCATTGGTCCTTGTGCCTACATTCTCTCCTACAAAAGCAAGCACATGCCTGTACCCGCATTAAAAGACCAACAAATCACCCCGGGCCCGGAAAATCACCAATCCTTCCATCTTGCACACTCCTGCAAGGTTCCACTGCCTGCAAAGATCACACCCACTTACGAAATGTCCCTGTAGATCATATGCAACTTCACGTCTTGGACTTTGCTTCATACTCCGTCGTGAGAGCAAACGGACAATTCAGGTGCATCTTTTCTGGAGACTTGCCCCTTTCAATCCCCACCAATGGCTTCCGCAATATGTCTTCCTCAAGACCATCCCCATCAATGGGAGATATATAGCGCCAACTTCAAACTCAACAACTTAATATTCACGTGCTTTCTCATTCTTCAGGTGGTTTTCGCACTGCAGGTCCTATGGCAGCTGTATCACCATGGCGGTCGACCGCTTCATTTGTCTTCTGCAGATACCAATGACTTGGCCATCGAGTCATGGTCTAAGAGTGCCATGGTACCGTGGTTCTGGTAAGTTACAAAAAGCGACTCGGCACTTTGCACAGCGGTTCAGTAGCCGCTTTGGCATTTTTGGCTGACTCCAATTGCCTTGGTTTTGACCCTCTTTAGATATTCGAGTCGACAAGCGTGCAATACGTCCAGCCCCATACCAAATAGGGCTACCTAGGGTCCACCTTATGAAACCAGCCATTCAGCGTCATTTATACAAAAGTGTTCGTGCTTTGCGATCTTCGACAGTCACACATGATTGCGGAATGGACAATACTGGCTTCGCCTGCGGAACGCGGACCTCCTACTGCTCCACAGTCTGTGAGACACTCACTTCCCTTTCAGGCCCTCCTTCTGTGCCGTGTCAAGTAGCCGTGTCTGCGTGGCGCATCTTGAAGCCTGCAGTTCTTTTGGAAGGAGGGAATGATCATTTCACACAATGTTGTTACAAGTTCATGGTCGCCTTATCTTTTTCTCATGGGTGTTTACACTAATCCATTTATCCAAGCCGCTCACCATAGGGCGTCCCGTTCCGAATGGACAGGTCAGGGGATGGAAGATCTTTTCCTCGGACTTTTTATGGGGCACGTCAGAAGCGAGTATGTGGCTTATGCAAGGCTTACTAGTGACAACCACTAACACCCGGGATCATCTCCCGACGTGGCGAACCCTCGACCCGACCCAGACACTCTTATGAGCTGTAGATATGAAAAGTCTGGAGAAAGTTGAGCGGGAGTAGATGGAATATACCAACCGAAGGTTTCTCAATCCGTCATCTGCAGGGCATGCAACCAGATAGTTAAGCGATGAAATCTAAACACCACACAATAACAGTGAGCTAGTATTCTGTCTGAAAAAAGAGGAACACTATGGGAAGTGTGGCACCACACCCGCTAAACCTTCACTCTTCAATGTGTACCTTTCGCGGTACCTGCGTTTTCTCGAGTCCAGACGCGAGCATGTTCCTCATGTATGGGTCAGCCGCTCTTCCCACACCGGCCGCCACTTCAGGCCACCCTCACCAACCATCATAACGACGTTCTCGACGGAGCGGAACATGGTTCTATTCCAGTAATTGTTCGCCGTACCTGACAGGCCGTATCCCAGAAGCCCTCTCACGATTCGACAAAAAATTGGATCCCCGTGGGTCTTTTACTTGGCTTCTGGTGTAAGGCCAATGTCGAATTGTTCCATGATCTGAAGCGAGTCGTAATTTGACATGGGGGATCTTCAACAGCACCCCGACATGCATCCAATCTCTCTTCATCCATCTCTGAGCCGATCTATTTTATATTCCCCATCTTACTTTGCCTTGACCCCGGATGGCAGGTCCTGAACATCACTTTGCGCTTGCATCACTGGCAGATTGACGTCCTTTGAGAACACTACATAGTCGTTTATAACCTCCGCGGACCGCCTTTTTCACATTTGTTGCCACTCCTATTTCCATAGGAACTCGAATTCAGGGCAAAGGATCCAACATGACTTACTTCGAGGACAAGGCACCCAACCTCGCTGCCTCAATTATCGCACTGGCTGTTGTTGCATACATGACATTCGGGCTGCGAGTCTACACAAGAATTCACAATCAAGCTTGGGGTCTTGATGATTGGTCTATGACTCTAGCGACTGTAAGTCACTCCTTTGTAACTTTGGCGGTAGGAGTCATGCTGACAGGACGCTTCCCAGATTCCCTTCACGGGCCTGACAATATCGTGTATCGGCGGTGCATTCAGCGGCGTCGGCATTCATGACAACAAACTCAGTCCAAGCGAGAAGGTTCAGGGAATGCAGGTATGTGCCTGTTCATTGACGTGACAATTTATACTAACAGTCTCCAGTTTTTCTTCTTCTTTGAAGTCTTTTACTGCGCGGCAATCATCCCGATCAAGCTGAGCATTTCCTTTATGCTGATCCGAATCGCTTCGCGGAGGAAAACATACATTTACAGCCTGTATGCTGTATCTGCCATGTTCGTCATCATGAATCTCATCGCCCTGCTGTACATTATTTTCCAGTGCGCTCCCGTGTCATACGCTTGGGATCAGTCGACACCTGGAGGCAAGTGTAATCCTGCGCAGACACTTGCCGATATCTACTATGCGACCACGGCAATCAACATTGCAACGGATTGGTTTTGTGCCTTGCTGCCCATACCGTTGCTATGGAACGTGCAGCTCAACCGCAATGCTAAGCTTTCCGTCGGCGTTATTCTCGGTCTAGGAGCCTTGTAAGTCTTTGTTCCCCCTGGCTCGCTTATTTCATGAACATGATCGCTGAACGAATGCTCCACACAGAGCCAGTTTGTCTGCATGCATTCGCCTCATTTACACGGTGAACCTTACGAGTTCGACCGACTATCTCCGTGAGTTCCACTTTCCCTATCTCTTTCCCTTGTCCCCCGCACACACTAACACACCCGACAGACGGTGTAGCCGATGTCATTCTCTGGGGCTATGCCGAAAATGGCGTCGGAATGATTGTAGGATGTGTCGCCACACTCCGTCCTCTACTGCAGCGCGTCCTCAAACTCGGTAGCAGCGGCAGTAGCGCAACCCCACAGACACCCGCAGCAGGCTATGCAAAGCGACCCGCTGTCAAGAGCCATTTGACCGGCAGAGACGAGGAATGGGTCGCGCTTGAAGATGGCCAGACGGTAAACATGGTGCGTGGACAGGGTAGCGTCGGAAGCGAAGAGTTTATCCTACCGTCCAAGGACTACCGCGGCATTCACGTCACCAGCACAGTTGAGCAGCGAACAAGCTCACTGAAGCTGTAAGCGATACTCATAAGACTTTAATTCTCATTTAAAATGATATAGGCATTTTTAGAAGGATGAAACAAGGGAAAGCAACAAGAAAAGTTTACACATACATGATAGAAATGACGATAGATTTACCACCTGCCAAATTAAGAATTCTCCCCGAAGTGGTAGTAACTATCCTTACAAAGTACCAACAAATCTGTACCTTGCAGGCAAGCCACCAACAACAGAAGAAGAAGAAAAAAGCACCACCCCCGGTACATCCCACCCGTCCGAGCCCCCGTCCTCCGTTCCCAGCCCGCCACATCCATGCCCACGGGCCCGCAACAAGAAATAGGAAAGAGACAAGACACATCACCACCCACCCACTCCCAAATCCACCACCCCGATATATCCTGGTATTCATGCACATATCTGTCGCACCATCCACCACTCTACATAACCACACATGTATTACAACACACATGAAAGATGATGGAACGCACATACATATATAAAGCGCCAAACCCGGTAACCGGGGGCGTGGTTTAAAAAAGAAAAAAGAGAGAAAACGGGCGGCTCGCGTATGTACCGTTGGATGAGCGTTGCTTTTGCGTCCCGTCACTGGGCTAACGGGGCGGGAAGGGGGGGGGGCAGGTTTTAAGCGAAAGAAAGAAAGGAGGGTGCAGGATGCAGGATGCAGGGTTGGGTAGGGATGCAAAGGCAGGAGGCAGAAGCGATATTACAGGATTTGATATTTTGAAGGTGCGGGTAAGGATGGTAAGGGGAAGCGATATTATAAGATCAGACGGGTGAGATGAGTGTTGGTGTCTGGGTTTTTTAACTTGAAACATGTTACTGAGGATTATAGGCCTTTTTTTTTACTATATGTTGGACTGGGGTTAGGGGAGAAGTGGGTGGCATGGTGGTGTGGAAGTGGTAGGCTGGGAGGTACTAGGAGTCGGGCCGAGGATACTGGGTACGATGGAGCGAAGAGTGGTAGTTTTGTGGAGGTTGTACGGGAGGCCAGGAGGGTTCGTAGGCGGTATGAGGGGGTGTAGTTATGAGATGGTGGGTTTGGGGCGAGAGGTGTAAGGAATGTGGGTGTGGGTGATGGCTCTTGAGGAGAGGTTGCTGTCGCTGTTGAGGGATGGTATCAATGATATGATTTGGTATTTTGAAAGATTGAGACGGGCGGGTACATTCGGTAGTTGGGTTCTGGTATCGTCTCCTGGATAGCATAATAGCTTGACAAGAGTTGGTTGTGCAGAGTGGCTTGGTGCAGCTGCTTTGTGCTAATTCCATTGGTGATCCTGTGGAATTCCAGTCTTGGAGAATTGAACAGCCAAATAATGCACGATGTTTTGTTGGAGGGAAGTGGCACAGCCTGGGTAATAATGTTTACAGGGATACAGAATAAGCAACATGCAAGCCTTAGTAATGGGCTTTACAAGCCTTCTTTGGTTTAGTATGGATTTTGCCAAACTTGACAGAATGGCTTCTAATTGTATAGATCGTTACTATGGATCAGGATGCTCTTATTCGAAGACTGTCTATCACTCATTTTTGATGTGACACCCAAACAATTGTCCGGGCTGTACCTTGTACTATTATATTGACATGCAGTATGCAGTAGCATTATCATATGCACTGTTACTAGCAATTCACAATACCAAGTAGTTGTTGTAAAATGGTAGTACTTGTGTTGTGTGTCAAACTCTATTTCCCGGTGGGGTAATTCCGCCAAGCGCCTGCTGCCTACAGTACTAGTGCGACTCCACGAATGCGATATAAAAGGTGTTTCTCGACCGCATCCCCACGTTGGAGAAAAGCAAATTTGTTCGATTCAATTTACTCCCGGGTCATCTCTTCCTTCGTCTCCCACGATCGTAACTCGACACAACGCACTGTCTCTCGCATCCCGGCCATCCACTCGCATCTGGCCCACCACGCCGAGTGTCTACTGATTTGTTTTAGACCCTCCGATAATGGCAAACTTTTCTGGTAGCGTCTTTGGCGAGACCCTCCAAACAATTACCAGCACCAAGTTAGAGGAGCTCGCAAAGCAACGCATCAGCTTTGAGGACAAATATACAAGACTGCTCGACTCTGTGAAATCAGAAAAAGACGCGTTGAAGCGAGTTGGCATCCTACTTGACGGCTTGAAGGAATGCCTTGGCATTCAGACCGTAAAGAGCTCTACAGCTGGGGGAGGTGTCCACGTAATTATCAGCGGATCAAGGAATACCGGCCTCGAAACTGATCTCCGGAACTTGTACCGTTTTATTGAGCAAGCTCGCTTTGACCCTTCTGTGTCAAGTAAGGTCATCTTGGGTTGGGAAAAGAGACTGCTTCAGTACCTTTCAATTCAGTCCACCAAGTTCCAATACGCCGACCTCTACGGGAAGCTCGTCACAGAATGGCTCTCCTCTGAGAAACCTGCAAACAATGATGGCGACGTTGAGATGGCGGAGAGCTTTGAAGAGGTACCCGGTGCGAAGAAGCTTGCTACTCGTACGGAATGGGAGAAGAATGTGTTCCAGGCGGCTGAAGTAGATGAAAAGGCACTACGGCTATATCTCAAAGACCTCTTTGTCAAAGATAAGAAAGAAAGCACCTCAGCAATCGACGAGTTGCATAAAAAGGTCCAAGAATTCGAAAAGAGTCTAACTAGGTCAAACCAACTTGACATGTTTTCACTTCGTCCGGTCATTGAAGGATTACAAAACTCCGATCTGCTTTCAAACGAAAAGCGGGAAGCGTTGAGAGATTTTCTGGGCAACAGTCAGTATAGTCGATACTGGCGAGGCACCCCAACTAACACTTGTATCAGATGTAATATTGACAGAAGTCTGCGATATTCTCAATGTGCGCTTGGCAGCTCTTGAAAATTGGAACTGGGGCCCGCAAGTCCTAGTGGAACAAAGGAGGAAGATCAATGGCGAATTTTCGATCCAGCTGGATCCTGACCTTTTGCAAGCGATTTTCCTTCATTACATCGGCGTACAATGGTATCTTCGCTCGTTCCCAACTACTTTAACACAACTAATAAACTTCGATTAGGTCAGTGTTCTTCAAATCCGCATTTAGAGACTTGCATAAGCACGAGGCTTGGAAGAGCTCTTCTACTGAGGTCGGCAGGGATGAGCGCTCACAGCGCATGTACTTCCTTGGTAAAAAAAGTACGAATGCTTCAAAGAGTCTCGAGGAGAAGCGAAAATGCACGCATGACAATAGATACTTTGCATATCAACTACTGGACTTTGACGCACAGCAAGTCGAGGTGGAAGAAGGTGAGGAAGAAGCAGAGTACGGGGAATACGCTGTTAACAAACGAGACATCGTGGTGCATGACCTTGCGGCAAAGCGACCTATGAAATCCGCGGTTAGATCGCATTTCGCTGCAAGGCGTCTGGTTCCTGAAGCTGAAGTAGACGAATCTGATGAGGACGATGAAGACGAGATATTATCGGAGGATTCGTTCCAACACGAAGACGAAATTTACCGTGGTCAATCTAAGAAACCTATGGAATCAAAGCAGAATCTGCTTCATCTTGTCGCCACAGAAATCATTTTCAATACCCGGCTACACGGCGAGTTTACTTGCCTCCATACGACATTTGATTCCTGGAACTCACTTCTACCGCATCAAACAATATCCGCAGTCCTCGAATTTCTCGGTGTATCAAAGAAATGGATGACTTTCTTTGAGAGATATCTACAGGCTCCATTGAAGTTTGCCGACGATCCAGCATCTGAGCCACGTTTGCGTAAGCGAGGCATGCCGAGCTCTCATATATTGAGTGATGTGCTGGGCGAAACAGTACTCTTGTGCCTGGACTTTGCTGTCAATCAGGCCACCGGCGGTCCAGATCTGTATCGCCTCGGCGATGATGTATGGTTTTGGAATAAGGATTATGAGACATGCGTGAGCGCCTGGGCCAGCATTCTGAAGTTCACCGAGATCATGGGAGTTAGGGTGAGTTTTAGACTAATGAAGGATCTGTCGTGGTGTCTAACGAAAAAACTAGCTGCACGAGAAGAAGACTGGCAGTGTGCGAATCGCACACAACAAGGAAGCGGAAATCGATGAACGTCTTCCCGAAGGTGAGATTCGCTGGGGTTTCTTACAGCTTGATCCTAAAAGCGGCCGGTTCGAAATCGACCAACGCATGGTCGATGGACATGTAGAGGAATTGCGCACGCAGCTGCAAGGCAAATCGAAGAGTGTTATCGACTACATCCAAGTCTGGGTATGTCATACGACTCGAATGACTGATTTCACAAATTGCTGACTCTTGATATCAGAACTCGTACGCGGCTACATTCTTTAGCTCGAATTTCGGAAAAGCTGCCAATTGCTTCGGCCGCGAACATGTCGATAAAATGCTCGCTACTCACCGCCACATTCAGGAGCAAATATTTCCCAATGGCAGCATTGTTCAGCAGATCAAGCAGATGATAGACGAGCGCTTCTCAGTGAAAAACGTCCCTGACGGCTTCCTCTTCTTCCCAGTCGAATTAGGCGGCCTAGACCTTAAGTCACCGTTTGTGCACCTTTTGCAGATCCGTGAGTCTGTAAGAGAAAACCCTTACGACTTGCTCGATGAGTACGAGCGAAACGAGCGCGACGACTACGCCACCGCCAAACGCAGATTCGACAATGCCGACCCGGATACTATGCGTCGTAATGCCGACGATTCAGCCTTGCAACGTAAAAACATCGATGAGTTCTTCTCTTTCGAAGAGTTTGTCAAGCACCGCGAGGTTTTTGGAACATTAGGAAAGGCAAGCTTAGTGAAGACTTACAAGAAATTGCTGGAGCAACCGCAGGAAGAACCTGTGGCTCTCAGCACATCAGTTGGGCAGGCTATAACTCATCTATCGAGTCAGAGCAATCTACGAGGCATCCTTGGTAATTGGGCGGCCATGGATGCTTATTGGAAGTGGATCGCACAGATGTATGGCCCGGAGATGATCGATACGTTCGGGAGTCTAAATGTTGTCGAATTTGGATTGCTGCCTATTGGTATGGTGTCGATGTTTAGACAGCGTCGTACCAAATGGCAAGGCTGAATGGACTGATGAGTGTTTCAAGTTGAGCAGATCGTTTCTGTTTTTCGAATAGCATGGCTGTAAGGAAGATACCTGCGGTCTTCATTGTTGACCGTGGAGCGAGTATCTACCCGTACGGCGAGGCACTTGTGCTACTCTCGCTTTGCTAGCGTAAAATAAATCTCGTACTACCGGAACATTAGTCAGAGGCTGGCGGGAGAATAAGCTCAACGGGACGGGTAATCCGAACATCTTCCCCGCATCCGCTCTTGTTTCACCCTTTTATTCATCTTCTGTTCCTGTCACTCTCAATCTCTCTTTCGAAATCTCTCATTTTGCCAAGAAACGTAGCTGATTCTGTGTGGAGCACGTCACGCTATCGATACTTGAGAATGCACTCCCCGTCACTGCCACTCTGTGTACCTCACATGCTAGCAAGACTTTGAAGAAGCCGACCATTGGTTATTGAAAGCCACGGATCTTTCAGTGAGTGCCGATATAACCTGTTTGTGAACTGACTATTGGTAAACTTGTTTGAATCGTAGCGATGACACATTATTATTGCGTCAGCCCAAGCAACTTTACGTTGTCAGTCCTTCTTAACATCATGAAATCGGATTCAAGAGGAGGAAACTTTTTTTTTTAAAAAAGAAATGAAAATACAGTCGAACGTTGTTCCATGGTTTTCAGAACAGGCGCTGGCATTTCATCATACCGACATGCGGGCACCGGTAAGATATTCAGATGCCAGAGCAGAACTACAGGACCCTTAGCATCCCAACGCGATACCCCGCTGACCCGCTGGTTGTCACGGCTAGAACGTTGTCTCAAACCCCACGGGACGTGGGTCGAGCCATTTTTTTTGGCGGACCGGTTCGTCATTGGCGAGGGTTCATAGGCTGGCACTACCCACAATTACCGGCAGACGGCCACACAGAAGCGAATCGCGTCCCTGCAAGCTGTCAACAACCAACCAAACAGTCCCGCGGCGCACTCCAAGATCCTCAACGATTCGCATCTCTGAGCGGTATTATGGGGGTGTGGGATTATTAGTTGACGCTAGTTGATGACGTTATCGGCACAGCTGTGCGCACAACACCGAGACGAGAAAAGTGTCGTGCGCTGGAACTAGCAAGCTGTACGAGCCCCAGCAAGCCAGACCTCACATCTCTTGATATTCTGTACGAGAACTATTGGTTCGGTGCATGGAGTTTACAACTGAATAAATATCTCGTCGAGTACCGGTCGCTCGCAGATCTCCTTTTCCATTTTACCCCTCCTTCGAAAACTTTCAGACCATGTCTGTCATCGATACTACCAAGGACCTGTCAGCACTCTTCTCCCAACAGGTTCAGGCTACCCCCGACTTGGTTGCTTTAGAAGACGACAAGACTACATACACATACCAGGAGCTTCACGACAAAGTTGCTGCGCTTGCCGACCGGCTGCGGGGTCATGGGGTTGGCCGTGACAGCCTGGTTGGTGTCCTGTTGCCGCGATCCGCCGACTATGTAATCGCCTGCTTAGCAGCACTCTGTGCAGGCGGTGCGTTTCTGGTTCTGGAATTGGCCTATCCTCCTGATCTCCTTGCCGATGTTCTTGAGGACTCACAACCTACTGTTGTAGTTACTGTCAGTGCAGAAGTCGGAAAGATCAAGGGGTCCACACCGCTCGTTGTTCTGGATGAAACCAGCTCAGATAAGAACGGCCAATTGGACGAGCACGATCTGAAGCCTTTGCCCGAAGAGACTGATTTGGAACGCCTGGCATTTGTTGCCTACTCTAGTGGAACTACTGGCAAGCCGAAAGGTATCGCCAACCCCCACAAAGCAGCAGTCTTTTCATACAATCTTCGATTCGGCCTATCTGATCTGAAACCGGGAGACCGTGTGGCTTGCAATGTCTTCTTCGTTTGGGAAATCATACGCCCGCTATTAAGGGGAGCAACTGTTGTGGCTGTTCCGGACGATGTGAGCTACGATCCACGCATGTTGGTCGACCTCCTTGCCTCCAAGAAGATTACCGAGACTCTTTTCACACCAACCCTATTCTCTGCTGTTCTTGCAAGACATCAGGCGCTCGCGACTCGGCTGCCGGATCTAAAGACTGTTTGGCTCAATGGCGAAGTAGTGACAACCGATCTTGCACGCCGTGGTATCAAGGCCCTCCCCAACGCCCGCTTGCTCAACGTCTATAGCGCATGCGAGACACACGAAATCGCCTGTGGTGACATCAAGGATATGCTTGAGAAGATTGACAAGGATGCTGCGTACTGCCCTGTAGGACCGCCACTTATCGACAAAAAGTACATCTACATCCTGGATGAGAGTGGCCAGAGGGTAGAAGATGGCGAAAATGGCGAGCTCTGCGTTGGTGGACACCTTCTTGCCCGTGGATATCTCAACCTTCCAGAGACAACTGAAAAAGCATTTATCAGGAATCCATACAGCTCCAAGATTGGTGCTAGAATGTACAGGACTGGTGACAAGGCACGCATACTTCCCAGCGGCCTGCTCGAAATCACCGGCCGTGTCGGCGCTATGATCAAAATTCGTGGATACTCGGTGGTACCAGGCAAGGTTGAGAACGCAATTCTGACCCATTTGGCTGTCAGCCATTGTGCTGTGATAGCTTTTGGGGAGGGTATCGACCGCCAGTTGGTGGCATACATTGTTCGAGACAAGAACACATCGGCCGAACGCCCGGAGCTTGAGATCGACAGGACTGGGCGCAGCTCGACTGCTAGGCGCATGCTTATGGCCTATCTTGCTCATTACATGATTCCTTCGTTATGGGTTGAGATGGACAAGCTACCAACGAGTGATGTTTCTGGCAAGGTCGACCTCAAGGCTCTACCTCCCCCGAGACCATCATCACCTTCAGGAAGTGCACGCAAGTATGAACAAAGCCCAATTACTATCGAACAGATAACCCAAATCTGGGCGTCTATTTTGAATGTTAGCCCAAGCTCGATCACTCCTGAATACAATTTCTTCGATCTCGGCGGTCATTCACTTCTTCTTGCGGATCTGGCTGCGCGATTGTCAAATACTTTCGGTTTTCGGGTACCTGTTGCACGTCTCGCCCAACCTGCAACCCTGAATGGACATTTGGACACAGTTCGTGCCATTCGCGATGGTCATACCGCCGAGGTGCAAGAAAACCTCCCAGCCGTATTACGTGCAGACTCCGTCTTGGACAAAGAGATCCAGCCAAAAGACGCCAGGGTGTGTGCACTCAAGGACGCGAAAACTGTCCTCCTCACAGGTGTGACTGGCTTTTTGGGTGCTTTCCTTCTCCGAGATCTACTGGAGAGTACGTCTGCTCAAATTGTCTGCATGGTCCGATTCGCCGATTCCTCACAAGATGATATCCCTGCCGGTATCGCTAGGATACGTAGGAACTTACTGGATTTTGGCCTCTGGAGCGACAACATCATGGAACGTGTGGAGATTCTTCCAGGCAATTTGTCTCGTAAGCGATTCGGTCTTGCCCCTGATACATTCAAAGACTTGGCCGAACGTCTTGATGTCATTGTTCACGCTGCCGCTACTGTCAACTTGGTGTACCCTTATGCTGCGCTGCAGAAGCCTAATGTTGGCGGAACACGAGAAATTCTACGTCTTGCGGCCCAGGGCGGTGTGACAGTACAGTATATCTCAACCAACGGAGTACTTCTTCCCGCAAAGGGCCGAGAAGGGTGGCCAGAAGACGCGATGCTTGATGTCAACGATGTTGTCAAGCTTGCTGATGGTTATGGACAAACCAAATGGGTCGCTGAACAACTCGCTTTGGAAGCTGGCCGAAGGGGTCTTCCCATAAAGATTCATCGCATTGGTACGATCAGTGGTCACAGCGAAACTGGTGCTGCCAACGCATGGGATCTCTTGACAGCCTTGATTGTTGAGTCTATCAGAATCGGTCATTATCCAGACGTCAAGGGCTGGCGCGCAGAAATGACACCGGTTGACTTTGTTAGCAAAGCTATCATCCATCTCAGTAACCAGACCGAAGCTGAGCAGCCAGTCTTCCATATCGGCGATCCCGACCCTGTTGATGTTAGCAAGGTCTTTGAGGATCTCAACGAACTAGGCTACCCAACTAAACCTATAGAGTTCACAAAGTGGATCCAACTCTGGGATGACAAGCGCGGCGCCGCTAAGGGTGGTGATGGCGCGTTCACAGTTGATATTCTCCGCAGCGGTATGCCCAGTATTGAATTTCTGAGGGATGTTGTGGTGCTCGACAACGCGAAGACACGGCCACTTCGTCTTGCTGTAGAGCGCCCAAAGGTTGATCAGGTACTTCTCGAGACGTACACACGTCACTGGTACGCTCGAGGCTGGCTTCCAAAGCCTCCTGTTCATCAAGACGCTGCTGGTGGCTCGGCTCGCCTTCCCCGAAGGGGTCCTCTATATGGCAAGGTCGTTGTTGTTATGGGTGCTTCATCTGGTATTGGTGCTGCTACTGCTACAGCTCTTGCACGAGAAGGCTGCCATGTTGCGCTTGCAGCACGACGTATTGACGCTCTCGAAGATCTGAAGAAGAGCATTGTGGTTCGCGAGGGCAAGACCATCACCCAGAAGACCGACGTCACGGACAAGAGCCAAGTTGAAGCCCTTGTCGCCGCAGCAGAGAAGCAGCTGGGACCAGTTGATATCTTTGTCAATGTCTCGGGAGTCATGTACTTCACCATGATGGCCAACTCGTATACCGACCAGTGGAACCAAACCGTCGACGTAAACTGCAAGGGACTCCTGAACGTCATCGCTGCCATCGTACCTTCAATGCTCAAGCGCGGAAAAGGCCACCTTCTCGCCATCTCCTCAGATGCTGGTCGAAAGGTATTCCCTGGGCTGGGTGTCTACTCCGCTTCCAAATTCTTCGTAGAAGCTACACTACAGAGTCTGAGGCTTGAAACCGCTGGTACGGGACTCAAGGTCACTTCTGTGCAGCCAGGTAACGTCGCCACTGACTTGCTGGGGATGAGCACGGATCCAGAAGCATTGAAGAAGTACGGTGAGCCGAGTGGAGCCAAGGTCCTTGATCCAGAGAACGTTGCGGATATTATCGTGTACGCGCTTAAGCAGCCGGATCATGTCAGCGTCAACGAGGTCCTCATTGAGCCTAGAGATGAGCCGATCTAGAGGCATATCTTTGGATTGGGTATTTCAAACTTCCACCATTGAAGGCTTTTTCGCATGCATGTCGTTACAGTTCAGCGGAGGGAAAATAGCAGGCCTGGCGCAGCAAAGAATGGCTGATGGGATATCATGTAGATTTACTGCATCTTAGTTTCAGCACAAGACTTAGAGAATATATATAAGATTACAAGGTGTGAAGCATTTTGTGTGTTCTATACTTCGTGGACTTTACTTCTATCCTCTCATATACAGGGGTTGTACCTGCTACGAAGGATGTGAGTGAATTTGCAAGGTTGCTGAGCGAAAATGAGATTGAACAAGTTCAACATTGAACTTTATCTCGAATTGAGCAGCATATTTTGATTTCAAATCCAATCCCTGTCATACATATCTAGAGAAGGCTTGGTATACGTGTTCATCATACGTCAACCCAGAAGTGAGATCGTATAGTAGGCAAAGTCGCGCTAGAGTCTTGGCAGTCGTCAATCCAACATTTCGTTGAAGGAACCGCGACACTTCCACAGCAAACCCACCCCGCATGACGAACGAACCTAAACCAGATAACGAGACGTCTAATACTACCACCTCTGGAAAAATGGCCGAAGAACCCTCCACTGCCGTCGTACCATCGCAAACCACAGCGGACAAAGAAGCGCCCTCAACCACCATGACCGCAAACGAAACATCAGCAGACAACACACCGACAGGCCAGGAGTCTGCCGCGAAAGAAGATGCAGTTGCTACCACGGCGACACCATCTGACCCCAAAGCCGCTCTCGCTGCGCGAATGGCACGCTTCAAGGCGCTCCAGGCGCAAAAAGTCAGCGGCCGAAAAGCCACAGAGCGCGAGGTCCGCGATGCCGAAGACCGCAGTGCGCGTCTTGCTCAAATTTCCAAACTCAGTGCTGCCCACGACAAAGCCTCGTACAAGCTTCTCAAGTCCGAAGACCCTGACTTCGAGCGCAAGCGGAACTGGGACTACACCATCGAAGAGAGCGAGAGCTGGGACAAGCGGCTAAAGAAGAAGGCCAAGAACAGGGAAGGCGTAGCCTTTGCCGACTACAGAAATGAAGCAAACAAAGTATACAAGCGACAAATCGGCCAAATGAACAAGGTCGACATGGAAGCATACGCCGAAGAGAAAGCCAGAAAACTCCAGTCCCAAGTATCCTCGGGCCTCCTCCAACTCGTCGAAACCGACACGGGCGAAATTTACACCGTCGACAGCCAAGGTCGCATTAACACGCCCGTCGACGAAGCCTACAGCCACGACCACAAGCCTAGCAAAGAAGCCGTGGACCGCCTCGTCGAGGACCTCGAGAAGAGCGAGCGCTCTCGCTTAAAAGCGCGTGCCGCGCGCGGCATACGCGACGAGCAGGACATGGGCGATGTCACATATATCAACCAGAAGAACAAGCAGTTCAATGATAAGCTAGCGAGGTTTTATAATCGGTATACGACGGAGATTCGCGAGAGCTTTGAGCGCGGGACGGCTATATGAGTAAGGTTGGGATCTCAAGAGAGGAAAATGAATGGTGTAAATATACCCTAGCATATTTTTTTGGAATGTTTAAATGGATGATGGAGTTGGCTTTTGAGGGGTAGTTTGAGCTGCATTGGGGAATTTTGGCGTTTGGATGGGGGTTGGGTAAATCAAGATATTTTCAAGTCATGAATATAAGTTCTGCAGGGTTCGAGATGTCGGACTGGCTTTTTATGGTCTTATTATTAGATTTGGTATGCTCCGTCCGTTTTTTACATCATACTACTGAGCACTCGATTCACGTCCTGGCCTGGCTCCGGTTTCTTCATCGCCTTGCTCGTTGCCGTATGTTGCGAGAACTCGAGTCTACCCTTTCTCCTCTTGGGCTTCTCACCCGCTTCTTGTACTGCATCTGTTGTCTCTGGCGCATTCTGGTCGGTATCGAGATCCTCGCCTCTCTTCCTTCGCGTAGCCTCAATCCCACTAACTACCTTGCCGCGCTCTACGTTCTCTAAGAACGCCTTGTTCTCCTTCTTGCCCTGCGCAATTTCGAATCTGAGTCGTGCTGCGCGTTCTGCATTCTCGTTTTGAATCTGTTCGACAAGATTGTGCCATTTGACGCCGCTCAGGTACCGGATATTCCAGACTTCGTCGTGCCATCTGCCTCTCTTCTTGCCGCCCATGGTCTGCGCATTGAGGTTCTCGGCTACGAATTTGGCGTCGCGCTTGTGTAGGAATTCGACCCAGCCATCGAGGAAGAGCTTACGGCGTGTGCCACCGTTGCGCAGCCGTTGTGTGCGCGCTGTGGAGGATTCGGGGGTGAGGAAGATGCGGCCAACGGCGCCGTAGGGCTGCAGTAGTGAACGAAGAACGGCGGGTTTCATGAACGGTGGCACGCGCGAGAGGTAGATGACGCCTGATTTGTCCTTTTTGAGTGAGGATTGGGGTAGTGCTTTGCCGAGTTTCGTGGATTGAAGTCTCAGTTCGGAAGGGAGGGATGCGGCGAGTTTCTCAAGGTGGGCTAATTCGGCGCTCTTGGAGGCAAAGGGTTTTGGCTCGTCTTCTTCTTCGTCTTCTGCGTTGTCATCGTCGCCTTGAGACTCCGCGTCTTCATTGTCATTTTCCCGGTCTTCCTCTGCTTCTGAATCATGGTCTGTCTTTTGTCGCTTCGATGCCGGCAGCATGCGCGCTCTACTCTCCTCCTCGGAATCATAGCCCCTCTCATCGTCGTCGCTCTCCTCTACGTCGAGGTACTCGTTCCGTTTGCGCGTCGCCATGTTTTGTTTGTATTTGATTGGTTTAGGAATCCAGTAATTGGGATCTTCTCGAGGTCTGCAACCAATCCGTTTGCGACAAGTAAAGACGTGCTGTATTGAGGAACCTCGAAGCCGCTCGCTCGAAACTTTTGCGGAGAAGTCGCGGAGGTGAACTTTTGGGTGGGGCCTGGCTTAGCGCGTCTTGGCAGTCCGTGGCGCATCTTCGCAGATGTGTACCAGCCTTCCATCATTCTTCCACCTCCCCATATAACCAAAATTTCCTACTCGCACCTATAACATCCCTGTAGTGCGACTGTATTCGCGTCTAACATAATACCAAGGCCACATATTCAGACGCGCACCAAACACTTGTCGCAATCATGGGTGGAGAGTAAGTCATTTATCCTAATTGTCTGCATCAAAGCTAACCAGCCCAGTTTAAATTTGAAGAAAAGTTGGCATCCCCACCTCTTCAAGAACCAGGAAAGAGTATGGAAGGAAGAAAAGGCCGCCCTCGAGGAGCGCAAGTTGATCGACAAGCTTCGCCGAGAACGCGAAGAGGAGGCTGCGCTTGAAGAACTACAAAAGTTGCAGGCAGAGTCTGGTGGAAAGGTCGTGCAGCGAAGAGTCGACTGGATGTATGCCGGCCCCAGCGGTGATAGCGGCATTACGGAAGAAAGAGAGGGCTATCTACTTGGAAAGCGCAGGATCGATAACCTTCTTAAATCAAACGACACGCAAAGTCTGCAGAAAGGCGCACCAGTCGGCATTGGTGCTATTGGCGAGCCCAGCACGAACATAAACAACGCCCGCGATACACAAAAGAAGGTCCTCCAAGACCCACTCCTCATGATACAGAAGCAAAAGATGGAAATGCAGCTGAAGGCCATGAAGGATGCTCAGAAGGAAGCCAAGTACGCTGAAAAGCGCGAGAAAGAGAAGGAACGCGAAAGGAAACATCGAAACAGGGACAGAGAGAGGAGTAGGGATCGGGAACACAAGCATCGGAGTCGACACAATCGATCGCGCTCGCCACGCAGAAGCGAAGATCGTGGGCATCGCCGTGAACACCACCGTGAACACTACAACCACAAGAGACGGTCAAGGTCGCGGTCACGATCACCACATCGAAAGCACAGTAGCCGGCGAGAACGCACACGTTCGCCGCCCAAGAGAGAGGATCGAAGGGAGGATCGTAGAGACTTTCGCGATCGCGACAACTACCGAAGACGTGATCGCTCTCCTCCGAGAAAACAAGTGGATGATGCTGAAGCCCGTCAAAGTGCAGCCGATCGTCTTGCTAGTATGCAAGCAGAGGCAGCATCATTGGAGGAGCAGCGAGCTGAACGAGTCCGACAACAGGAGATTAAGGATGCAGAAGAGGAGGCGAAGCACAAACAAAACATGGATGGCGGGCGACGCTTCATATCTAGTGTTCGCGGACAGGCGTCCAATATGGATTTGGGGGATGCCATTGCTCGTGGGCGTCCAAACTTGAGAGCAGATTTAGACCCTTAGGGCTTCCTGGTTGTTTTAATGGTTGCATGGTTCTTCTGAGCGAATTGACAGTAGATTGATACCCTGGTGAAATATTCTTCGTCAATATTGAAGTTGAATGTGCGCTCGTATAAGTCGTAAGCATGGAACTTACAAGTGACGTAAATGCAAGAACAATTGCTTGTGCTCTCAGGTATGCTTACATACGGATTATAGCGCATTATGGCTGCTGCTTGGAACAAGTAACATTGCCTGTTTTCTTAACTACGGCTATTAATCCCGTCTTAGGCTCATGGCAGCCGAAGCTACAGCAAAGACATTGCTCTAAGCAGATTCTATGTTGGTTACACCACCACCTCGACGCACATTGGTCCCAATAACCCCTTTCCTCCATGACACGCCAAGACCACAATCATCGTCTGACGCTCATTTTATGCCAGTCACTTGACTCTTTCCTCAACCTCATCACACTGTCGATTTGATGATCTTCTGGCAAACGCGAGTATATTACCGGGAACTCTGCCCTTTTTATAATTTGTCGTTAACATTGCCTCCAGATTCATCGTGAATCCTCAACTACTAGTACGATTTACACGCGATCCCTTGGAACAGCCTCTTCAATCCACAAGGAACTACCGACCCCCGTTCCAGCCCGCAGTTGGTGCAAACAAATCATCCATGCTATCGCCGTTGTCTTTCGCAGTTTTCGAATCTCGAACAGTGTACGATCGGGTTACCTCGATTTGACGGTTCAATTTGTTGCTGGCCTGCTTGCGCGCATTTTTTTCTGCGTTTGTGCTACGTAGCTCAAACTTTCCTCCATTGCTGTGCTTCCTGAACATCTTGAATTTTCGAACTCTGGAGCGATTCCCGCTTCCATTACGACTCGAAAGAGACAATATCCATGGCATGTGTCGTTGTATGAAGGGTTTCAGGAGTGCCCCACATGCGCAAATGACGCCACCATTGAGTTCAATCGTGGAGAATATACAAGCTTTGGCGATATTGTAAGTTGAGTCAGGATTGCTGATCATGCTGTAGACGTAAATGATACGAACGGTAGAGATGACGACCACACTGGCAACATTAGCATAGGACCATATAGAGACTGAATGTGCACATGTCCTTACCCGGATCCCAATGCGAACACAAATCCCAGTAAGACTTTTTGTTTCATCGGCAGCTGCAAGGCGCGTAACATTGGTACTGGCAGGCACAGGATCAAGAAGTCCGTGATAATGTTGATACATGCCATGAAAAGGTTAAGATCTGTAAGGCATTTCTGGTCGCTATGGTATTGTGGATTGCACGGGCCGGCAGCGACAATGGTGATTGCTAGCGAATATCCAGATACAAGGCCTGCTAACGTGTATATACAGGAGCGAATCTTGAAATCCGGGTTGAGGCGATAGTAGAGTGCTAATAAGGAGAGCTTTGCGAGTGCAGGCGTCCAGACATACACTACCATTATGCCGACGAGCATCTTCGTGTAGACTTGGAGCTGTTCTACAGTCACATTCCACAGGTGTTGGCCGAAGCCGTATTTGAATGCTATAGGTATGTCAGTTACAGTTGACGAACGAGTGCCATGGAATGTACCTTCGAAACATATTACCAACCATGCGACACACCCAAGCCAGCTGAGAACTACCAACACATCATCCAATCCGGTCAACCGACGAATGAAGATGCGTGTATACAGCCGCAACCCAAGTATCATGGACGAAAAGATTGTCATAACCACATATACCACAATGATCCTCCTCTGAAGGTCAGTCTTGCCATCCAAGTCTTGATCACCATCATCAGGTACAGGCAAAACGCCCACTTTTGTTCTGTCGGAACTCATCACACCACCAAAAGAACTTTCGGAGATTGGAAAAAGAGACAGAGTATACAAAACGGAAGCGAACCCTCCAGGAGTTGGGCCATACCCCCGGATCTGCAGCAAACTTATCTTTGTGGGGAGCTTGAGTTACCTTTCCACCGATTTCACCACTGTGAAACCCAGAAGACCATGGTTCGTGTAACATTTACGTTCAACAGTGAAACCATAAGACGCAGTAACTAGCAAGCCGCTTACGAACGTGCGCTTCTCCAACGCTTCTTCCTGGTAGTGAATGCGTAGAAGTATTGACAGAGCTGCCATGACGGCGCATGAAGAAATCAATGATATGCACAATTATGCAGCTGCTCCGAGTTGACCTGGCCGCGTTGTCACTGGTCGCTGCAGCCATCTGGGTTCCTACATGGAGATCCTAACTGTCGCGCAAGCCGTTACATTGCCTACTCGATCACTGACTGGTTTACGTGCCGATATTACATATCATGGGTTGGAGCACGTTGCCCGTAGCTCCACTCTATTACGCTAGCCAATAAGATCATGTCCAGAGAATAAGGGTTTCACGACCTGCTTCGCTTTTGCTGAAAACTAGATGAATTGGGACCGCTAGAAAACTTCACGGTTATCGACAAGTTGCAAGCCTAGTCAAACATGAGTCACTAGTGGATTCTGTGTGATGGTGTGCGATAGTGTACGACAAAGCGCGGCAGCGCAACGTTTTTGGCCAACATGCGGAGTCAGCAACAAAGGATACGGAAAGATGCCGGTTGTGGGATACACTAACACAAACATGCAGTCTGACGAGCAGACTGACTGCGGAAATGGATTAGACCCTGATTCAGCTTTCGTGACTACCGATCAATATCTCATACAGGTTGCCGCCACGTGTGACTGTGGTCCCCGGAGCAAATACGTTACACCTTCTCCTCTTCCACGTTTTGCACGATCAACCACCCTGCTGGATCTACGAAGAAGCGTATCTTGGATTGTCTACTGGTATATATTGTTCGTATTCATTGACATGTCAAACAGCTAATGAAATCAGAAAGGAGCAGTTGACTTCAATAGTGAAAGAGCGATTGTATGTCGGTTATCGCCTTCACTATTTCTTTGTTGCTACCAACACTCAACTCATAGCAACATCATCAGCCCCCCGCACCACCGGAGCCTTGCCTGTAACGAGCCATGGAGTCGGTTTTCACTATTGTCCTTGTGTTCGCACCACTCTCGGCTGTTATCTTACACGAGTCTGTCCTGCGCAAAGTGGAAGTTGATCATCTGGCCCTTCCAATCATTGGATCAGCGGTTACGACCTATTGGATCCTCGTATATTACACGGGTTTCATCGCAGCGACACTGGTGACGAGCTCCTTCTGGGTACCGCTATGGTTGTACACAGGAGCCTACCGCGCTTTCTTCCATCCCCTGAAAAATTACCCAGGACCCTGGGGAGCGAAGCTCTCGCGATGGTGGACAATCAAACAGACATGGGATAGCGATTTGCACTACCACAGGGTACTACAAAGGCTCCAAAAGCAATATGGCGATTATGTTAGGACAGGTCTGTTACGATTCGTACCTCCTTCCAGATGCAATGCTGATCGAAAATAGGACCACGTGAACTCACCATATTCGATGCAGACGCGATCCAACCTATTCTTGGGACCCGGTCGAAAACTACCAAAGGGCCGTTCTTCAATGTCATGGAAAGGTCGCTGCATTTGAATCGCGACAAGGCATTTCATCGCCAGCGACGCAGGGTCTGGGATAATGCGTTCAAGACGTCGCTGTCCACCTATGCTCCAGAGGTTGAACACTTCACGGACCAGTTACTTGCAAAACTTCGCAGCAAGGAAGGACAGCTAATTCCACTCTCGGAATATACTTCGCACTATAGCTACGATGCCATGGCGGCACTGGCTTTTGGCAAGTCCATGGGCTTCATCAAGGGCGAACAGAGCGATGTCGCTGCAAGTATCCTCGCCACGTTTACCAACAGCGTACAAGCCCTGGGATATATGTATCACATGCCGTGGCTCATGAACACAATCGGAGTACTTACCTCGTTTGCCGGGCCCATGAAAGAATGGCGAGACTGGAGCGTCAGCCAAATGCGTGCACGAATGAAAGTACGTACTATACATGCGATGAACCTGCCCCGAATCTAACCATTACTAACGCTTCTCCAGGTCCGAGACGCAAGACCAGACTTGATCTCGCACCTCATAGTCTCCACGCCCAAGACCCCCGAAGGCCGCGAACTCCTCTTCGGCGAATCGCGCCTCATCATCTCCGCAGGCAGTGAAACAACATCCACAGCCCTAACCTTCATCTTCATGCACCTCGCCACACACCCACACTACATGACCGCCATCCGCACAGAGTTCCTCGCCAATGCCCACAACTACGATTGCCAACACCCACTCCCTTTGCTCGAAGCCGTAATCTACGAGTCGCTGCGCATATGGCCCTCTGTCTTCTTCGGCTCCCAGCGCGTCACGCCGCCCGAGGGTATGGACATCAACGGGCACTTCATTCCGGGCAACACAATCGTGCATATTCCGCTGTTCCCGCTGTTTCGCGACCCGAGGAACTTTGTTGCGCCTGATGAGTTTATCCCGGAGCGCTGGACGACGCGGCCAGAGCTTATGCGGAATAGAGCGGCGTTTATACCGTTTTCGACGGGACCGTATAGTTGTGCGGGTAAGGCGCTGGCGATGATGGAGTTGAGGAGTGTGGTGGGGAGAGTGATTGCTGAGTTTGATGTTAGGCTTGATGAGGGGGTTGATGTGAATGCTTATTGGGAGGGTATCAAGGATCATTTTACGGCGGGGGCGCCGAAGGTGATGGTCAGATTTGTTAGAGCGGCTTGAACGGGCGTGTGTCTTGGGTAATTCTGACAGAAATGGTGATGAGGGCTGAAGGGATGAGGTAGAGACGAATAAGGTATCTGTTTTGTAAAGGACCTGGTCTAGTCCAATCGATTAAACGTACTACAAGATAAATCTACTAATATACATGTTGAACCACTCTAAAAAATATGTGTCATACAAACCGAACCCCCTCCCATCTTGTTTTCTCAAAAATCCAGCAGACTCTTTCTCGGAGCAGACAAACCAACGACCGGCGTCGGCAGACCCTCCTTCACAGGCTGAGCGCTAGGCACACTGAACACACCCTCCGCCTCCCAATCATCCTCGTAATCGCTATCATCTTCCGAATCCCACTCGCTATCCTCGCTCTCATACTCATAATCGTCATCATCGTCATCACTCCACTCCACTCCTTCCGCTGCATCCTCATCAACCCAATCCGCATCCCCCTCCGTATCCCCATCGTCGTCGAAATCGCGCGTAGTAACAACCACATTCGTGACCTCGGGTATCTTGTGAAAGTCCTGGATACTCAAGCCCGTCAGAGAGCCAGTAAGCAGTCCGTTTCCCACCGTGTACTTTCTCATTTCACCGTGTTCATTATTTTCTGTGCGTTCGCGTTGCAAGTTTAGTTGCACAATGCGGTCTTCGCCCCAGAAATTGATATGGTCGAATCGCACGGTCTCGAGCGTTTTCCACAATGGCATTTCTTCAGACGTGAGGCGGTAGATGATTGAACCGGGGTATTTCAGCCTGCAGTGCGACGAGTAGAGCGTTTGCAATCCGGATAGTGCTTTGAACATTTCCGTGAGATCATCCGGACCATCTTGCCACTTTGTCGGCCTGGTGAGATCTTGCTCGTATAAGCTGAGTTCGGTGAGCTTAAGGTACTTGACGCTGGATGCGTAGGCCCGGTTTTCAAGCGCGGTGCGGAGGAAGAGGTCCCAGCGGACAGTGCCCCATGTCAGGCTCATGTTTGTCGCGATGTGGGTTGACGAGATGCGATTCAGGGCATGCGCGGTCAATGAAAGGCTGATTATTGGGCGGTAAAGTGTGGGCGATTGGCCATTTTCCGAGTCGTTGACGCTGTGGCGATCGGGCGTGAGATAGACGCAAATTAGGTGTAGAATGGGTTCAGGAAGTGAAGGTAAAGTGGTCAGAGACATTGTAGTGTTTGTATAATGTAACGAACGAATGTGTAGAAAAAAGCCAAAAGTGGGAGAAGGGAAGAAATTGAAGTGGGATTGGGGACTGCTGAGGGGAAATTGGTCGCGACGAGAGGGACGCGTATCGATGATGTAGACGCGTCGCGATTAGTACACTAGACTAAATGCGGCATGGTGATGGACTTTGGTACTACAGGAAGTCTACACCCACTTTCATATCATGTGATTATGCATACTGCTAATCACAGCCAGCTGTAATGAGTTGCGTCTACTTTGCGCATATTTTCCAAATTCATGTGATCGTTTTCTGAAAGTCAGTCCCAGTGTGCGTGTATTGAAAAATATCCATAGGTAGAGACTCTATCTGTTTACATACTAAATTAATTCAGCCACTACCTATACCAACCGTTGCCATCCACCCTCAGCCTCGAATATCTTTCCGACTTCCTTACTTACTGCCAGTAACCGTCTGTCATGGTATCGCGGTGCCACGAGCGAGATCCCAATCGGCATGCCATTCTGCCCCTTGAAGCCCGGCACATTGACCACAGGTGTATGCAGTGCCTGTCTCTAGATCAATAACAACTCTTCTAGCTAGAGTGCAGGAACACAACTTACCGTCCATATCAAACAAAATGATGCGCTTCCAGTCTTCTCAATACCCAGTGGCGCCTCATCAGGCACACTTGGCGTCAGCACTGCGGCATACTTTTCAAGCAGCTCATCTACCACCGGTCTTGCTGCCGCTATCTTATCAAACGCTTCCAGCTGTGCCTTGCGCGAAATCTTTCCGCTGTTCTCCACATGTCCTACTAGCTGCTCCGAAATCTTGTCCTTGGCCATTGTGTATTCAGGCAAAAACGCTGTCCGGCCATCCGAGTTCAGCACTGTCGCATGCCATGATGGGAGATCATTGAGGTACTCTGGCAGCGAAATCTCCTCTACTTCGGCTCCATGCGCACGTAGTAGAGAAATAGCTTTGTCGAGGGCAGCGACAGTACCCGGTCCTACCTGCGGCCAAACCATGGTTTTGAGAATCGCAAACTTTGCTCCTTTGACGGTGAAATCCGATGGGACTGGAGCATCATCGTGAATTGCAAAAGTGTCGGCAAGGAGCTCTAGATCTGCTACGCTACGAGCGTAGAGGCCAAGCGTGTCGAGTATCAACGAGTAAATCTTCTGTCCTTCGCGCGTGATCGAATTCCACGTCGGCTTGAGAGCGTAGATTCCATTGTACGAACCGGGCCGGATAGTGCTACCGCCCGTCTGCGTACCCAAACCAATAGGTGCTTGGAAGTCGCCCACCGCGGCTCCAGATCCCGATGAAGAACCTCCAGGCGTACGATTCGGGTCATGTGGGTTGCACGTCTTGGGGCCTGTGGTTGTTGCAGCGAATTCAGTCGTTGTTGTCTTTCCGAATATAAGCGCACCGGAATTGCGCAGTATGACAATGGATCCGGCATCTACTTTTGGTGCGTCATTGGCATATATTGGTGAATTGAATTGCGTCGGCATATCTACACATCATCAGTCAAGGTCTAGCGAAATAGATTGAGATTGAACTCACCTTTTGTGTAAATCACATCCTTAACAGCAATTGCAACACCGTGCAAAGGGCCGCGCTCATCTTTTGGAACAGCATCTAGTGCTTTTGCCTGCTCAATCACATATTCGGGATTGAGATACGCCCATGCCTTGACAGCCTCGTCCCGCGCCTCGATGCGCTTCAAGAGCGACTTTGCGTATTCTTCTACCGTGACTTCGCCTTGCTGGATTTTCTTTGCCGCTTCCGTGGCTGTCAGCTGGTAGAGTTCGGAACTCATGTTGTTGACCGTATCGCTATATCTCAGGCCACAATATCAGCTTTCAATTACAAGGAAGCACAGACTTTGAATGTTAAGATGTGACAGAACGATTTCCCTTCTTCCCTTCTAAACAATACATCTATGCGCAGCAAATGTATACTAAAGGAAGTGGTGCCGAAACTATTATCGGCCCAAGTGCTCCGCTTAGTATGATAGGCAGCTGTCAGATACACCATGTCGCCCGCCAGTCACAACGTGCGGGTTTCCCTATCGAGGCGTTAGTGGTAGTACAAGTGTGATGACGGCCGATAACGGTCGTCCCGCTTATCGGACGATTGTATTCCGAACGCACACCTCCAACTTTCCTCCTACCAGATATGGAAGCATCGCAGTGGAGACGATTTGGAGTCTTCTGTGGAGCAAAAGTATTGGGTATGAAGCTGCTTCTAACGATGGAGCAAGAAGGTATGTAATGGAATGATTTGGATAGTTATGCATAAAGTGGATGGATGTAGTTTTGGACAAAATATCATTTGCGATGTTTGATAATACCATTGCGCAACATACAGTATTGCTAACGGAGTTCCTCGCTACAGCTCAATAATTCACCTTCGGCGATTTGCCTCCAATCTCAATGTCATCCCCTGCATCCGTCATGGGCGGTGTAGCAGCAACGTAAATCTCTCCACGATCTCCCTCTCCCTCGAAAAACCCCTCACGGCCATCATTGCCCAACCATTCCCACTCAAACTGTGTGCTCTCGCGCCCAACAGGAAATACGCGTGGCTTGATGAAGAGAAACGTGACGTAATAAACTGTCGCCGCAACGGTAAAGGTCAAAATCCATCCCATACGGTACATGTTCTGTGCGGCCATGGAAATGATCTGCGGCTGGTATTGGCCGATGAGACCTGGGATACCCATGGTGGTCCCTAGTATCCAGGCGACTACTCCACACCAGTTGATTCCAGACCAGAACCAGTATAGGCCTGTTTTTCTGCCGTCGTAGCACGACGGAACGTGGACGTTGCCCTTGCGCACAATGAAGTAATCGACAATCAAGACGGCGCATAGAGGAGCCATGAAGATGTTGTAAGATCCAAGGAAGCTGTTCAATCGTCAGTTTCATTTTCTTTTGCAGCAGACTAGCAATTTCTGTAGCGATCTTACCTAAGAAAAGCAGACGCATTAGCCATGAGTTGCCATGGCTGCACAACGACCCCAAGAAGAGCACACAGTATTTGTCCTCTGCGGATAGTGAGCCATTTGGGGAAAAGGCCAGTCATATCCGAACCAAAAGGAATGGAATTCGCTCCAAAGTTTGTTGCGAAAACTCCAAAGTAGAATGCCAACGAGGCGAAGAAGATTGCTGCGCGTGCACCAGCGCCAAAGTGATGGTCGAGAATAGCGTCAAAGAGATCCCAAATGTTCCAGTACGCTACGCCGTACGCTGATTGCATTGATGTCGTCGAAGCCATGCCGAGGAAAAAGACGATGATAGCAGAGACGAACACACTGACACCCTGGAGATAACCTGCGTCGCGGGGCTTCTTGCAGTAGCGGGCAAGATCGGGCTGATTCACAAGCATGGGCGACAGTGCACCGAAGATGGTGTTGATACCAGCCATGATACTCCAACCCATAGGAATAGAAGAGGAAGCTGTACTTGTCTTGTGGGCGAGATCCATAGAATTAAGTCCGCCGCCATTCGCCATGCACCAGCCGAAAACTGCAAAGGCTGCAACAGGCATGATGATTCCCTTGACGGTGAAAACGTAGTGGATCCGGGTCGGATGAACCCACATAAAAGGGAATTCCATCAGCCAAGCCATGAAGAAGGTCAGCAGCTGCCTCGATGTCACGGCGGCACCCGGCGAAAGCGTGTTCGGGAGGGTTTCCCAGGAACTGCCAAAGATGCAGCGTAGCATCACGGATAAGAGGTTGCCGGCATAAAAGGTCTGGATGCCGTACCAGATAATGCAGACAATGGCTCGGATGAAGACGAAGAAGTAGGAGCCATACATGCCCATAACAGAGCGTGCAAGGACGGGACTGCGCATGGTAAGCTAAAGTAGAAATGCATATGAGATTATTACTTACAATCCGATATGGTATTTAGCGCCCGGACGAGCCATCAAAACGACAACTATAGCCGCGAGTAAAGAGCCGATGCATGCTGATGCGAAGGATGTCTGCCATGTCTACATACGCTATCAGTCTGCGTCCTATGAGTAGTCTTGCCGGATACCATACCAGGCCAACGGCTACAAGTGAAGAGCCAGTATTCCAGCCGACAAGGGAGAATTTGTTAGAAAACCAGTACAGAGGCAGACTGTACCAAGTCCAAGTCCTCTGTTCGACTGGTGTCGGCTCGAGATCTTTATTCGACCATCTCTCGTCTCCGATAGGAACATGACCATCGTTGACTCGAGGAGCCCGGAGAAAGTCGACAAAAGCTTCCTTTGACTGGAAAGGTGCCGCCATCCGCTGCTTCGTTGGCATTTCGAATTTGCCCATGGTGGATTCAGTCGTAGTCTGAACAGACAAGCCTGACTATTCGCAAAAAGCAGTCCGCCCTCATCTTTACATCTATGGATCACAGCCGCTCATATGTCGAGCTGATTAACCTTGTTCCGACTCCAGATGGTTCACGCAGTCCAGACACACCAATGGTGAGTTAGAACTGGCCAGACCCCCTTGTCGTCGCCTCCATCGGCGCATTTTCAGCCGATGTAACATGTTGCCCCAGATGCGCGAGCTGCGTCCAAGCCTCCCAAGATGCGATAAAGGACAGGGGCTGAGATAGGAATACAGTGTAAACACGCGACGTCGTTGTGGTAGCGAACGTCAGCGTTACCGATCTGGTCAACAGTCTCCGTGACCAAGAGGAAGACTGCAGCCGAGATAAGATCACATGACGACTTATCTTGCCCACTCTGGAAGGAATCACGATAAGGCACACTTCGGCTTGTGTATGCCGTTTACCCTGAGCGATCTTCACACGTGAAAGGCGTAATGCATCCGAAGTACGTAGTGCGAGGTTGGGGACGATGATTCCAGGGCTCTCGACTACTACACACTGTGGTAATTTCAACCCGAAAAGGTCATGTCGCAATCCTACGCAGAGAGCCTACTGAGCCCCTCTGGATCAGCCGACGATCAGATACCTGCATCCTCTACTACTGCTACTGAGGTCCCATCAAATGGTACAAGTGTAGGCGCGCAGCCCTCTGCAGCGAGGAAGCCTCGAGTCGCCTTGGCCTGCAAGAGATGCAAGCGAAGAAAGCAACGAGTACGTCATTTGAGGGTTTCACAACAGTACCTCTTGACTAAGCCTCTTGCAGTGCGACGGCGCGCGTCCAGTATGCAGGTCGTGCGAACGAGCTGGTGTAGCTTGTGCATACGAGAGAACCCTGCGGCCCCAATACCCTGGTGGCAAGTCGGCGTAGGTCCTTTTCCCAAATGCTTTCTTGAATATGTGCGTGTTGGGTATCTGACTAACTAGTCAGTTATATAACTGCCTTGGAAGAACGCATTGCGTTTTTAGAGGCTCGTCTTCCAGACCATGCTTCTGATCATTATGACAATGGCTCGGATATGGTGCATGTTATGCCTCCTACAACTACTGAGGAGCCATCGGTCCCCCAGTTCCAGTCAAATGAAGCACGTCGTGAATCACGAGACGATTATTTCTCGGATGAACTCGAAGGTGAAGATAGAACTTCACTTGTTGACGGCGTAGCCTACCTCTCTCTATGCGCTTCAGGAACTACCGATACGACCCCCGAACCCTACTATGTTGGTTCTAGCTCTGGCGCTACCATTGCTCGCATCATACAATCTTCAATCTTTCGGAGTTCTGGCAAGAGAGCAGCCGGCCAGCATGCTAACCAGACGACTCAAACTCCCACGGCTGCGAGACCACCTCCACCTCCTGAGTCTGCGCATTCGGATGACCATATCATCGATTTCCCCGAGCGACAGCAGGCACGAGTGCTTTTTGATGTTTTCTTCGAACGGATACATACACGTTGGCCATTACTAGACCGCGTGGTCTATACAAAACTCTTCGAGAAGCAGTATGTTCAAGGTGCTCTGTCTATCATTGAGCGCAGTATCTTTCATCTCATGTACGCCATTACAGCTCGCTTCCTGTCATTGACACAGAAGCCATGTGGGGTGGATTCTGATGTAAGTCAAACGAGTATAAGCAATGTATTATTCTTACCGGTTTCAGAGTCACCTTACTGCCGCGACAGAACCAATGGATTACATATTAGCTCAGCACAACCTCGCAACTGTTCAATTTCTCATACTGCTTGGAGTACATGGACAGCGGTCTCCATACGGAGCAGGCGCCTGGTCTCAGATCCGATATGCGACGTCCGTCTGCATAGAGATGGGCTTGCACAGAAAGAGAAGTGTATTGTACTCCCCTGAACAAGCGAGAGATGCTGAGATTCGACGTCGAGCGTTTTGGTCGTGTTACTGTCTCGACCGAGTGACTAGTATCGTGCTTGGCCGCGCATTTGCCATTGCTGATCGGGACATTAATGTCGAGGTATGCTAACAACTAAGCATTATAAGGAAACCTTGACTGACTTCTTCCTTAAGCTCCCCAGCACGAGCCCTGAATTCTGGACTCTAACACACCAAGAAGCCCCCGAAGCCCACAAAACCCAATGGTCCAACATCGAGCCCTTCATCCACATCATCAAGCTCGACCAAATCCAATCCCGAATCCACAAAACAGTCTTCCGCGTCGACCGCGACGTCTTCGCCGGAACCTTCGAACAGCGCGCCAAACTCGACCAAAAAATGACTTCCATCCGCAACGACCTCGACACCTGGCTCCGCACCTGCCCGCAAACCCCCAAAAAAGAAAACAAGATAACCTGGATGTACGACCCGGAAAGCGCTTACCTCGACGCCCGCGACTTCTACGGCGTCCAATACCACAAAGCAATGCTCTTCCTCTTCACCGTCTTCTTACCCACCCTCGATACGTCAGACACTCGCTTCATCACGTGTGCCCGCTCCGCTGCCTGCGCCTGCAATGCGTACAAGCGACTCAGCCAGAACAGAACGCTGACTTACACCATGATATCGCTGCACTCGTGCTTCGTAGCCGGTCTAACACTCGTATATTGCATCTGGCGCGACCGCACCTTGTTCTCCTACGACGTCCTCGAAGCGACTCGCGCATGCTCACAGATCTTGACTATCTTCGGTGAGAAGTGGCCCGGCGCAGTCAAGTATCGTGATATTTTCGATGCGTTATCGGGTAGTCTTTTTAAGACTGTTGTTAATGCTACGAATGCGCTCAGAACGAACGGCGCGAGACCACTGCAGCTGGATGTTGATGCGGAGCCGAGCTTGCAGGGGCTGGGGCAACAACGGAAGGGGTATGAGGAGGTGGCAGAAGGGAGGAGGGGGAGTAAACAGACACTCTCACACATGGTTACCGATGCGGTTAAAGAGGCGTTTATGGAGGTTGACGAGGAGGCGCCGGGGGGTTGGCAGGGTTGGAGGATGTGGAATGAGATGGTGAGGGATGAGGAGGCGCAGATGCAGAATGTGGAGGTGAGTTGGACGGCGGAAGAGGGCCCTGGGTTTTATGGCGTGGATCCCATTCAGGATGCTGCGATGCAGACGGATGGGGAGGGGATGGTGGATATGAGTCAGTGGAGTTTTGGGGGGTATAGGTGAATGGAGGATGGAGTTGTTAGGTATCTGGCTACAGATGTCACTTGTGGACTTTTAGATCCGGAATGTATAGTAGGAGACAAACATCTCAACAGGGACGACCATCGATAATATTGCTATATTCATGTCTACAGTTCACAACTAAGTGAATATATATATATATATATCTCCCACAGAATCTCAATAATGAACACAAAAACACTTTATTCAAATACCACAAACACCTATGCAAGCTCCCCCTTCTTATAGGGAAACTGCTCCCTAAACGCCTCCGCAATCTGCGTCCGCGTAGCAACCCAAACCCCCTCCTTCTCCGAAATATACTTTACAAAATCCTGCAACGCCTTAAACCGTCCCGGCCTTCCGATGATCCTGCAATGCAGCCCAATCGTCATCATCTTTGGTTTGCCCGCCGCACCCTCTTCATACAAAACATCGAACGCGTTCTGGAGGTGCTCGTAAAAGGCACCTGGGCTGCGGAATCCCGTGCCCTGGGTGTGGAATTTGAAGTCGTTGCAATCGTAGCTGTAAGGAACCATGAGACAGCCCTTTGGATTGGGGCTGTTGCGTTCGTGCGGGAGATCGGTCCAGTAAGGGAGATCGTCGGCGTAAGTATCGCTGGCCCAGAGGAGTTCCTCGCCCATTTCTTCGTAAACAAGGGGGATCAAAGCGCGGCTTTGGGGGGAAGGCCGGCCGTAGTACCAGCCTTTGGGGGCGTAGCCCGCGAGTTTCTTCAGCGCGGTGATGCCGTCTCTAATGTGCTGCTTTTCGGCTTCGACGGAGAGGTTGGAGTGGTCGATCCAGCGGTAGGCGTGCGATGCGATGTCGTGGCCTTCTTCGACAGAGCGCGTGACGGCTTCTGGCTGCTCTTCGACGGCGGAGCCGACGGCGTAGAGGGTGAATTTCATGTTGTAGTCGTTGAAGAGCTTGAACATGCGCCACCAGCCGCTGCGTGAGCCATATTCGAATTCAGATTCGCCGCTGTAGTCGCGCTCGTTGATCCTTGGTTGTGCGGGATATTCGCGGAGGTTGATTTCAGACATGCCGTCTCCTTTCATCACTGAACGCTCGCCACCCTGATTAATCAGTTAGCGTGTGTAAAGTGGCAGTAGCAGGGTTTCTGGATTTACCTCTTCATAGTTGATGACAAAAGACACGGCTATCTTCGCGTCGTTTGGCCATTTTAACCCCTCAAGTCCTTTTTCACCATATCCTTTGAAATTCCGAGGAAAGGCGTATTCTTGTGGTGCAGCGTAAACTTCAGGCATGATGATGGTTGTTACAATGGTACTACAGAGGTATCTTGAAAGTAGACAGGAGAGTATCCAAATATTGATTCACACGATCCTTTTTCAGATTCCCCACAGTGAGTCTAAGTACTTGATAGCAGCGAGCAACCCCTCATTTTTCGTATCGCATACTAGCTGGAACATCGGCTATTCTCACCCGTGAAGTTGTTACGCAACATATCGCATGCTATACCCTGCTGTCGTTCACGATGATCGTCCAGTGTACGACCGCGATCTGGGTCGGCCGTGACGTTATCATGTTATCGTAGGAGGATGTAAAGTTATCGGCTTGGAAAGATCCGCAAGTAGAAAGTTGCCCCGAAAGGGAGGTGTTGCGACGGCTGGGGCACACCAATCTGGGGTTGCTGATAAGACATGGGTTTTTGTGGGGCCACACTGTAACCTACCGAACTCGGAACTCTGGAAGTCCTACAAGAAACAGTTCGTTGTATTACTAAGGAAAACTTGTCTTCTATATGCCCGGTATCAATCCTCTGTGTACCCTAGTGGATGGTCTCGATGCGAAGTCCTATCGTCTCCGAACCATTTTACGTTGACAGTAACAGCCACCACGTAAATACCGAGATTCTTGCACTCAGTTTCATTTGAGACATTAAGAAATTGTAATGTAAAAAAATATCCTCATGTCAAGTCATGTGCGTGGGGTTCTCACTTTGGTTTTGGAGGCAGTCCGTGTTAAGATTACTCGAGGACGGTCGCCAAACTTCAAGCAATGAAGTCATCAGGTTCTATACATGATGTATTTCAATATTTCTACTAAGACAATAGGTCGTTCATACACTTCTTATCAAGAAAGACCTTGCTGGCCTTTATGAAGCGCTTTTGTTCTTTGTGTCTCTGCCTATATTTGCTTCCTTCTCATTGGATGCATTCTCTTCGCTCTCAACTTCTTCACCATGGATGGCTATCTGCTCAAGCGCATCTCCATTTACGCTTGTTGCCGCCGCTTCTTCCTCGTCCATCTTCTTCGGTGCTTTCAAACTCGTGTTCCCAACCCAAAAGGTCAGTGATAAGCTCACGCCTGAGCACACTGTAAAGAAGATGAAGATGTAATGCAGACCTAGCATGTAGACGTTGAAAACGACATCTTGTTGGGTTTTTGTGAGGCCAAAACCATCGAGGTTATAAGTGGAGGAAGTTAACTGACTCATCAGACTTTCTGACACGAAGCCTCTTTGCGACAAGTGATGACTGAGCGTGTTCGACAGGATGACTCCAGAAATGACAAGACCGAACGCTCCACCAATAGTGCGAATAAAGTTGCGCAGCCCTGTTGTAACAGCACGATCTTCGCTACGACCGTTTGCGTACATACCAACGAGCGTGGGCTGAAGCACTAAGCCAATGCCCGCACCTTCCAGAATGAGCGCAACAATGAGCACTGCCAGGCTGGTGTTCCGATCAAAAAGTAGCGTGAGCCCATTCCCAAGAGTCCAAAGCGTAAATCCAACGAGGACGCAATGCATGTAACTGCCGACTCGGTTCATGTACTGGCCAGACGCGATGGATGTCAGAGAAGTGGTGATGACCACTGGTAGAATTAAGGCACCAGATACTAAAGGTGAGTACCGTAGGACTGATTGGAAGTAAATTGGGAGGTAGAAGAAATTTCCAAAATATGCGAGCCCGATGAGGAAGGTTTGCAAATAGAGTGCCCAGGCATGAGGGGCGCGATAGAGGCGAAGTGGCATGATTGGGAGAGCCACAAACTTCCATTCGTAGAGGACAAACAGAATTGCCAACACAGCGCCGATCACAGTGCAGGCAATGAAAAATGGAGAGGCCCAGGCGTAAGTAACACCACCTCCGGACAAGGGTATCAATAAGAGGAGCGTCGATGCGATGTTTAGCACCATGCCACCATAATCGATTTTCCTGATCTTTTCGAGATAGCCGCCGGATCGATGCTTCAAAGGCAAGAAGAACAAGATGATCAAAGATGTGGGTATTGTCAAGATGGGTATGATCCAGAACACCCATCTCCATGTGGCTCCTTCGACTATAGCACCACCGAGGAACGGACCAGCGCCATTTCCCAGAGCGATAACTGCACCCAGCCAACCTGAAAATGGATTTAGTAGGTCACGATGGCTGCAAGTTGGCATAAAATCCTACCTTGATACTTGCCACGATTCTGTAAGGTGGTAATGTCACTAACGATGATCATAACCAAACTATTAATGCCGCCACCGCCAATGCCCGCAATGGCACGGAGTACGAAAAGCTGTACAGCCGTTTTTGCGAAACCGCAGCCGAGATCTCCCAAAGCCATGAGCATGAGGCTAACGAGAAGTAGGTTTTTCCGACCGAATATATCCGAAAGCCGACCGTTGATGAGTTGGAAGGCTGTTGAGGCTATCAGAAACGATGTGCCAATCCACGAGGTTGCAGTTCCAGTATTTAGATCAACAGCTATTGCAGGCGTTGCGGTTGAAACACTAGTTTGGTCGATGAAGGAGACAAATAGACAGACCGACAATGCTGGAATTGCGATCCTGAGTTGAGTAGAGGTCATGGTATTCCGCTGACCTCCAATGGATGCCGCATCGCTTTCATCGTCAGAGTCTTGTTTGGCCATTGGTGCGAGTGGTGTGTTGCCATGGTTGGAGATAGGCATTCCCGTGGAATATGGATCGTCTTGATTGGCTCTGTTCTCGTCTGGCGCATCAGGAATTCGAGCGTCTTCGTTTTTGGTGGAGTATGTCGAGTTCATCTGATCAGTGGCAGCCTGCTCGCTCATCATCATATATATGTTCGCTCTAGGCTTGTTGCGCGTTGGGTAAACATGTCAAGTTATGGAGGAAGTCTACGTGAATAGCTGACGCTGAGTACAGACATGATGGCTAGCGTGCATATTGACAACAACGTAGGCATCGGAAGCCTCCCGAGCGGGGCGGCCCTTTTCCTTAACAGAGTATGCTCGGTACTACGTTTCATTCGGAAAAACGTCGGTAATCGAATCTGATACAGCCGAAGAAACTGCAGCTGGGAGGATCTGTTACATGCTTGGATTCCGTAAGTGTATGGTGGAGACGACTGTGATCGATGCGAGTGAGAGTGGGGTAATGATAGCGTGGCTTCGACCACGCTTTCGGCACATTTTGAGCCGATGTGTGCTAGACCCACATGGCAATGTTTGTCGTCATCGTGGATCCAACGCTCCAGAAGCACATCTTAACTCGATAGGGGTTACGCCGAGTTTTCGGCATCACGAGCGGATTTGTAACATGCCAGAAATGAGTTTGGGCGTTGTCTGCCGAGAATAACCCCAGCGATTTGGAGGAGTGTAGAGTTTTTCTCAAGAACGGGCCAGAAAATGTTTGGCTGGCCATGGTCCCAGGCGCGCTTGTCTGATAGCAGCGGAGGGATATAATGGGGCCATTCGCTCGCAGTAAATGAGGGCACTTGATCAATTTGTAGCTGTGCCAGTGTCAAAAACCAACATGTCGCGCCTTTTCCAACCGTTGACGGTAGGGTCCGCCAGGCTAGACCATCGTATAGCCATGGCGCCATTGACTCGCTACCGTATGGACGACGAGCACAAAGCATCATCGCTCAACAAAGGTAGGGGATATACCGCTGCTGCTCTTTATGAAGACAAATTGTTGACAATATGTCATAGAGTACTATGAGCAAAGAGCGTGTGTGCCAGGTACTCTTATAATCAGCGAAGCCGTCATTATCTCGAAAAATGCTATCAGTAGTCGCAACGCACCAGGCATCTGGTCGGAGGATCAGGTTACCGCCTGGAAAGATATCACGAGCGCAGTACACGCCAAGGGATGCACAATATATTGTCAGCTTTGGCACCAAGGCCGGACCGCCAATCCAGACGTTATCAAGGAAAACGGCTTGAGGATGATTTCTTCAAGCGCCGTTCCAATCAGTCCGGAACATGAAACACCAGAAGAAATGACAGAAGAGATGATCTGGGGAACAATAGGGGAATACTCGACAGCAGCAAAGAATGCCATTGCTGCCGGTTTCGATGGCGTTGAGATACACGGTGCGAACGGCTATCTGCCAGATCAGTTCCTGCAATCGACATGTAACCAGCGAACGGACGGGTGGGGAGGGAGTATCGAAAAGCGATCGCGATTTCTTTTAGAGGTAACGAAGGCAGTGGCGGCTGCAGTTGGTGCTGAGAAAACCGCAGTGCGTCTGAGCCCGTACAGCGACTTCAATGCTATGTTGATGGACGAGCCGGAGCCAACGTTCAGTCATGTGCTGGAAGAGTTGAAACCTTTTGGCCTCGCATACCTCCATCTCATTGAAGCTCGCATTACGGGTAACGACGACTCTGAATGCGGGGGACAAAAGACTGTAAGCTGGATGATTGAACAGTGGAACAACGCGACGCCTGTGGTGCTTGCAGGAGGATTCCTTCCAGACTCAGCGAAGCACGCGGTAAACGAGACGTACAAAGGATACGATGTGATTATTGCGTTTGGACGATACTTTGTGGCTAACCCGGACCTCGTGTTCCGGGTCAAGGAAAGCGTGCCACTGACAAAATACGACCGCAGTGTCTTTTACACGCCAAAGACACCCGTCGGCTACGTCGACTACCCACACAGTCAGCAGTATCTCCAGGCTACGGCCAAGGTTTAAATAGTTAATTTATAATATATTGAAGTTGAAATCTGACGTTTTCCATGAAGAAAAGCTGGAGGTGAACATAAGGTCGAGATGATGCTGACTGTGACAAGGATGATGGTGGCAGGAATGCAGCCTAGCTACCCCGCCAAAGTTAGTGCAGCCTCCCTGCATCAGCTCCCCCTCGCCCATCGGCCCGTCAATCGACAACAACGTGTGTGTGTACAGCTTCATACACACTCAACTGCAGAGCCATCATCTCAATTCCCTGTCACATCCTAAAGCATCCAGTCACAGTCGCCATGTCGACCACCATAGAGGCTGAGACGCTTAAGCAGCACCTGGCCGACAACCCGCCTGCCATTGTGCCCTTGGCCATCAAGCCCCACTTTGAGGCATTGAGCGACAAGGAGAAGCTCTATGCCCACCATCTCTCCATGTAATATACGCCCCAGAATACGAATTCATTGCTTCGTGGCTAACCAACTGACGCCTATCACAGCGCCTGCTTCGCCGGATCGCGCGTCGTCCTTCGCCAAGTCTCGCCCGAATCGGAGTACATCTACGACTTCATTGTCGCCCTGCATAAACACACAAAGGGCGACTATGCTGCTGTTGCCAAGGAATCCGGCCTCTCACAAGAGGACATCGATGCATACCTCAACTACGCGGCCCAGTTCCTCGGCAACATGGGCAACTACAGGTCCTTTGGTGACTCCAAGTTTGTGCCTCGACTCCCGCCCCGCCAGCTCAAGGCCCTCGCCACCGTCTCCAAAGATACGCTAGCCCTATACGAAAAGATCAAAGACTCGATATACGCAGGCGATGATGTCGGAAAGCTGCACCTGGGCTATCCGGGTGCAGGGCACATCTCAGCATACTACCCTGACAGTCCCAACATCACAAACGAGGAGATATCCAAAGCCAGTGACTTCCTCGAGGGCAAGGGCCTTCTCCCAGAAAATACCAGAGTCAGGAAGACGGACAATGGCTATCAAGTCCTCATTGCTTCGGCGCTCGATAACCCCCCGGCAGAGCAGCGCGATTTGAAGGAAAGCGAATGGACAATGGACGATGGAACAAAGGTCGCGCTCGTCTTTGGAGACTATTCAAAGGAGATGGACACCATCGCCCATCACATTGAGGAGGCCAAGAAGTATGCGGCCAACGAACACCAGATCGAGATGATGGAACAGTATTCCAAGAGCTTCCGTAGTGGCTCACTGCAGGCTTTCAAAAAGAGCCAGATGGCGTGGGTACAAGATAAAGGACCCCAGGTCGAATCAGATATTGGCTTCATAGAAACCTATCGCGACCCTCACGGTATCCGTGGCGAATGGGAAGGTTTCGTCGCCATGGTCAACAAGGAACGGACACGTGCATTTGGAAAGCTGGTAGAGAGTGCGCCACAGTACATCCCACTTCTGCCATGGGACAAGTCATTCGAGAAGGACAAGTTCTTGAGCCCAGACTTTACCTCGCTCGAGGTCCTGACATTTGCTGGCAGCGGGTAAGTGATCAACTCTCCCAGCATTGATACTGCATTTGCTAACACCAACAGTATTCCTGCCGGTATCAACATCCCCAACTACGATGACATTCGGCAAAACTTTGGCTTCAAGAACGTGTCATTGGGAAATATCCTCTCAGCGAAAGCACCAAACGAGCCCATTCCCTTTATTAAGGAACGTGATCTAGAAACGTATCAAAAATACCGGGATCCAGCTTTCGAGGTCCAGGTCGGACTCCATGAGCTGCTCGGCCATGGTTGTGGCAAACTGCTTCAGGAGACGGAGCCTGGCGTCTTCAACTTTGACAAGGAGAACCCACCCATATCGCCTCTTAGTGGCCAGCCAATCAAAACTTGGTACAAACCTGGCCAGACATGGGGCTCAACTTTTGGTTCCATGGCTGCGTCGTATGAGGAATGTCGCGCTGAGTGCGTCGCCATGGCGTTATCTTGCGAGTTCCCCATACTGCAGCTATTCGGATTCGGCGATGGCAAAGTGGACATGAACAGCCCGGCTGGTGATGTCCTGTACATAGCATATCTCCAGATGGCACGTGCCGGTATCGCTGCCCTGGAGTTCTGGGATCCTAAGAGTAGAAAGTGGGGACAGGCACACATGCAAGCCCGCTTCTCGATCCTGCGAACCTTCCTCAACGCGGGTGTCGAATTCTGCCAACTTGAATGGGAGAAAGAGGACCTTTCAGACCTTACGATTCGCCTTGAGCGCGATCGCATTCTTGATCTTGGCCGACCAGCCGTGGACGACTACCTTCAGAAGCTGCATATTTATAAGGCTACCGCAGACGTGGCTGCTGCGAAGCGCATGTATGATGAAATCACAAGTGTAGAGCCTTTCTACGAGAACATGGTTAGACCAGCTGTGTTGAGAAAGAAGACGCCACGCAAGGTATTCGTGCAAGCCAACACGGTCGAGAAAGACGGCAAGGTAGAACTTGTCGAGTATGAGGCAACTACCAAAGGCATGATCCAGAGTTATGCCGACAGGGAATATGTCTAAGTATGAGGGTAGCTGAGGACGATTTTGTACGAATCATAGCATGCTCGGCCCACTCTTGTCACAAATATGAAGGGCTGCGCACATGAACAAATGAATGATACAAATGCACAAAAGAAATGCAACCAAATGTTATACTGTGTTCGCCGTTTGTGGGAGCACAAACCTCAGATGTAACTCTTTTTTGTGGATGGTGGATCGAGACTAATACTCAACGCAGCCTGGATTCATCTCAACGGTGGACACACATTGACTGGCGGAACAGTGCCAAGAGACGCTTGTATCTGTTTAGAGCAGGTACCTGGAAAGCGGCACTTGGCGGCCTCTTGGCTCGAGAAAGTGTGGAGGCGGAGGATACTAGCCTGGGGTCCCACATGGTAGTCACGCCCACCTCATGTACCCTAGTCTATGCAATTGCCGGATCCCGCAGTATTCTTCCACCGCTTAAGAACGACCTTGTTACGAAACCTCGTCAACTGACCATATCCCTTTCCAAGACAGACAGAAGAGGGGGAGGAGATATACCGACAGCAACGTTTGTTTAACTAGACATCTCCGTTCACAAGACAATAATCGTCTTCGATAGAAGCCTAAACGATATATGTACCAAAGCTTCTTTTTTCGCTCACACCACTACAAAAGGCGGCTCGGAGATGCAACCCTGAAGCGACCAAAGCCAAGAGCACTTGTGTAAATCTTGGTGGACATCCACAATCCCATAGTTATGTGTTTCACCTATCCATACTGCGTTAGTGTGCCGACCCTACTGTAGAGTACTCTTATCGCTGCAGGTTATTGATTTCTCCGTCATGCTCATGGAAAAACTTGTACTGATTCGTGAAGCATTCTAGTTTCTACGCATATTCGAAATTGCAAACGAAATGGCTTCGGAACAATTCCCGACAGGCGCTCCACCGAGGCAGTGTTGGACTTGCATGGAAATGAATAAGAAGCCTGGTGTCTCTGATGATGCCCTTTTATTTCCCACAAGCAACCAGCTCCATTCTCCCTTTCTCTTGTGATCTTCAAAGAAGCCTCTTTCTGAAGGCTCAGTTTCATCATGAAGTTGTCAATTCTTGCTCTTGCGACTGCCTATACCGCCAATGCTGCAGTCGTTGGCGAAAGACAGGCATACGGTGTGAAGGGCTCTCCTGAAGGTTTTGGCAAAGGCACCACAGGAGGTGGCAACGCAGCATGCCAGATCCCTTCTTCCGTCGCCCAGTTGAAGACGTGGCTCACCGACAGCACTGCCCGTTGCATTGTGCTGGACCGCGAGTTCAACTTCAAGGGCACCGAGGGCACTACTACTGCCACTGGTTGCCGTCCCGCATCAAACAAATGTCCAGGCAATGGAGGCCAGGATGCCATCAACCAAGCTAACTGGTGTACTAATGGTAATGCTGGTGCTGGAGCAACGAGTATTCAAGTCAAATACGACAATGCTGGAATCAATGCTATCAATCTAGGCTCCAACAAGTCCATCATCGGTGTCGGCAACAAAGGTGTGATTCGTGGCAAGGGTCTCCGCATTGCAAACGGAGCAAAGAACATCATCATTCAAAACATTCACATTACTGAGCTCAACCCCCAATACATCTGGGGTGGCGATGCCATCACCCTCGATGGCGCTGATCTAGTATGGGTCGGTACGTATTTCACCCCTTCACCTCCATCTTTGTCCCCTTCCCCATATCTAACTCCTTCCCACCAGACCACTGCAAAGTCTCCCTCATCGGCCGCCAAATGTTCGTAGCCGGCTACGGCGCCTCCAACCGCGTCACAGTCTCCAACACGGAGTTTGACGGCTCAACCTCGTGGTCTGCGACCTGCAACGGCCGCCACTACTGGACCATGCTGCTCATCGGGTCCAACGACCTCATCACCCTTAAGGGCAACTACATCCACCACACTTCCGGCCGCAGCCCGAAAGTCGGTGGTAACACACTACTACACGCTGTGAATAACTACTTTTACAGCAACACGGGCCACGCCTTTGACAACGAAAAGGGCGGTAAGATTGTTGCGGAGGGCAACGTGTTCCAGAATGTTGCGACTCCCCTGCTGGCGAACACGGGCCAGTTCTTTGCGTCGCCGTCGACGAGCGCGAATGCGGCTTGCAGTCAGTACCTGGGCCATGCGTGCCAGCTTAACTCTTTTGGAAGCAGTGGCTCGCTGAGTGGAAGTGACACATCGTTCTTCTCCAACTTTGGAGGTAAGAATGTTGCGGGTGCTTCGGCGGCGAGTGCGAATGTGGCGAACACGGCTGGTGTTGGTAAGATCTAGAGGAGTTGGCTCTTGATGAAGAGTGAGGTGGTATGAGCAGGTTGGTTGTTCGAAGTCTGGTTTATCTTCTCCTGTATCTACTTTACTCCGTGATTGTGTTTTGAATTACAGCTTGCTTAACAAGCTTCTCAGTACCATCACTACCCGTATATATGCAAATATCCACCGTCATCATTAAACCCAGCACCACCCCTCACTCCACCCCAAACACCTCCTTAAAAACTTCAAGATTCCTCCTCCCCGCCACGCCCGCTGCATAAATTGCAAAGCCCACAACCTCAAACCACCCCTCAAACTCCTCTCTCCCAAGAACCTCCTTCATCTCCCTCGCCACAGCCCTTGGCGGACACCCATACGCCCCACACCCCATCGCCCCAAGCACCAACCTCGTCACGCCCTCCCCCGCCGCCATCCTCAGCACAAGCACAATCTTCTCCCTCAAATCCCGCAATTCGGCTTCATCCGCAAACGCACCCCCATCCTCTGACACCCGCGGGAACCTCGGCGCCGCAACCGTCAAAACTACAACGCTGAACCGCTCCTCCTCTTTCAACTCCACCAGGTCGTGATCCAGCGTATCCCGATACACGACTACGCCCGGTGACACGATACCCGCGCAGGATCCCGGGCCAGTGTTGGGCCAAGGATACCATTCAGGGCGCAACGTGGCATACAGTGTGGATGAATAGCATAGTGCTTCTTCCTGTGTGCGGGAGAGCGTGTAGCGCCATCCACCCCCCGGTTGCTGGTCTGAGGCTAAGTTCAAGACGCCGAGTTTCGGGGCGGAGGAACATGGGGGAGTGGTTTGGAAAAGCCGAGCTAGCGCGAAGGCGTCGCTGTTGAGAATTTGTATGGGTGCCAGAGTGTGGTGCGGGTAGGAAGGAGAGGATTTTTGGAGCGGGGGCAGTTGGGAGGGGATAAAGGTGCTGGTGAGGGTGCCGGTGGGGATGGAGGAGGCGAGGGTGGCGGAGCGCGAGATTGTTTCTTCGCAGATTTTGCGGCGGGAGGCGAGGTCTAGCATTTTGGGGGGTTGTGGGGGATATGGAAGGTCACGTTGGGTGTAGGTAGGTAGTTTGGAGGTTGCCTATTTTTGCCAAGACTACCACGCTTTGTGGAGTTGGGTTGTTGTGGTTACGTGTTAAGTTTAAGTGCTGAGCACTGCTTTCTGGGTGAAATTTCTAGATGGCAGCGAGTTTGATGTGCAGGCGCACGGTGATGTTAATGGTGGTGATGGTGGTTCGAGATTGGTGTATAAGTGGGGCGCGCATGTTCGTCAGGACGTATCGAGACACCCCTGCTTGAAGAGACGCTTCAGCTTCTGCTTTGCATAACGACACTTTCTATAGATTTCAGGAACAGATATCCTAGGAATCGAAAGGTACAACTTTAAAATCTCTTAACAACTCAAAATCCCATAAAAATAATTTGTGCTTAACGTGCAATACGAGAGTGTAGTGTGACAGCCACCCGATCGCCTGCCTTCGGTCTGCCTCAAGTGCGCAGAATGATTATACTCCTTGCTTAAATTCCGTCAGCTTATATTGTATAACTATGGATAACCTACCACGAGAATTTCGTTTGTATCCAACGTGCCAGCGTGTGCGTGTTTTCATTCAAACCCTGTCAGTTACAATGCATGATATGGAGAGCATCAAGCCTTAGCATGAAAGTAGGTTATTCGTACTGTATTGCTGCTGATACTAACCCTAGGATTAGAAAAAAATCAAATAGTAAATTATATCTGAGTAGTGAGGATACAAGTGAACCATGTCACTCCTTCCTTTGTGAGAAGGCGCTGCCGGTGTGGAGGTGTTTTCCCACTGCAGCTTAGCGTGAATAGAAGACAGGCAGTATCTCCCTGAAAACTCCACCATCAATCTTGCAATACAATTTTCACGCCCTTCTAACGATGCAATATAGACTACAGTCTTCCTGAGGCTATGTATTCCAGAGGCAAGGTCAGGGATAGGGTGGACCGGTCATCTCCCCATTTGCATGTATAAGCCGTTCATGCACGCCACTTAGGCAGCACATACGTGGCAAACCGAACATCAACAAGCAGGTCGAATAGAATGAAAGAACCAGGCTGAGATTTGCATAAGGTTCTAGAATGGCACTCTTTGTGATTAGATCGGACTTTGGCGCTTTCATCCAATAGGATATGCTGTACAACACTACCGACACCGTCGAATCAACGAGACAGCCGCCATTTTTCATCCATTTTCACTCCTACGCTACAGACAGACTGCTATATCGCCTCTTCAATTACCCTTATACAGCATTGAACCGATGCAGTTGTTGGATACATCTGAAATGTCATCTTCAGAAAAGCGACAGCGATTTGTAGCCGCACCGCCTGAGGAATACCCGGACATCGAAGGTACACCCAAATCACGTTCAGAAGTAGCGCATCGAGAAGAGGCTATTCTATGTTTCAGGTGTCCAAATATTGATGTTGAACATCTTTTTATCAAACTAAAAGTCAGAAAACCAAGGCAGAAATTGTTGAATCTTGGAAAACTTGGGCCAGAGACCGAGTTGTCGCCGTGTCCATTATGCCGCCTTTTCTATGCGGTGAAGATACAGAATGACGAAGACCTTGAGGACTACGACTACGTTTTATACTCAACGCATCCTCCATTGCCGTGGGTCTGCGACGCTAGATCTGTGCTGGCTGTGGCCAGGGGAGCGAGTAAATGCAGGCAAGAAGCGTCTTGGGCCAGAGTAGTGCAAAATGGACGGCTCAGTGGATTTATCGCATTTTCAATAGCACCAGGTTCAAATCCTCACATAGCTTCACTACGTGCTCGGTCTATTGATGCGATATCACTCGACTTCGACGTTATTCGAGGCTGGATGAGATTGTGCATCGGAAAGCACGCGAAGCAGTGCGTCAAAGCTACCTCATCAACCTCGGACCTAAAAGACCTGAAGTTGATTGATTGCGAACAGCGACGAATCATACAAGCATTACCATCAACCAAGTATTCCGCGCTCAGCTATGTATGGGGTACGAGTGGGTTCGGCAATGATGATTGGTCTATCCATAATAAGCTTCCCACAACCTTGCCGCAGACTATCGAAGATGCTTTGAAAGTCACGAAAGAGCTGGGTCTTCGGTAGGTTTGGATCGACAGGTATTGTATCAACCAAGACGATGGCGCTGAGAAACAGATCCAAATTCGGCAGATGGATCTCATGTATGAAAATGCGTTCATAACTATAACTGCTGCAGCTGGTACCGATCCATATTTCGGCTTACCTGGAGTCGGCACATCGAGAAATGTCCAACAAACAGCTTGGATCAAAGGAACGTACCTTGTATCAATTCTTCCGGATCCAAGGAATGTCATCAGAACCTCTAAATGGAATCAGCGTGCATGGACTTACCAAGACAGCTTTTTCTCAACTCGACGTCTGATCTTCACGATGCAGCAGGTCTACTATAAGTGTCAAGGTGCTGTTGCGCATAAAACAGTCGATAGGCTTTAAAAAAACATGTTTCCTATGTTCAATGCACCCGGCATATTTGAAAATCACGCCTGGAGAATGTTTGATAATTTGAGCAAATACAGTAGAAGAGAACTCTCTGTTGAAGCTGACGCTATACGCGCTTTTGAAGGGATATTCAACAACTTCAAGAAAATGCAATTTCCCATACATCATTTTCTGGGTATTCCGATCATGCAAGCAGTAATTCAAGGATCGGACCTGGAACTAGTACCAGCACGACATAGTAGGAGTGAGGCCTTCGCTGCTGGGCTTTCCTGGAAAAACACTGCACCGGGAACTAGGCGCACCCAATTTCCTACATGGAGCTGGGCGGGATGGACTGCTGAAATTGTGTACAACAATTCATTATGTCGAACAGGGCTTAAACTCGAAAATGAAAGTCGATTGAAGGTTTTCGTAGAGAACCATGATGGATCACTTTCGGATATGGATGAGTACGACGACGCGTCGCTGGAGCAGGAACTAAGGAGTTCTTCTGGAAAATTTGTTCACATCGAAGCTTGGACAATACCTATCACAATCCAATATATGCCTGAGAGGGCAGGTGACTGTATTGCCAATTTTTTATCTAGAGAAGAATGGCCACGCAACCTCTCTGGGTATTTCACTGTATTTCAGGACGATGAAAAAATTCTCCAAATTCCTTTGTTTTCATTGTACCAAGCCTACGAGAGGGGCAACGATACACAGCAGGACTTCGCGCCAGACCTCGACCGGGGCAATTTGTTAGGGATAGTCTTAGGCAGATGTGAAGGCTTTTCCGATATCGAGACCTGGGAAGGCATCGATGTCTTGATTGTACATGATAAAGGGAAGCATTTCGAACGTGGTGGGTCTATGGAAGTTCACTGTCGAATGCTGACATCGATTCCTTACTATGACTTCAGGCGTTCTGATAAAATGCCGTGGGAGATTTTTATTTTTCGACTAAAGGAGCGGAGAACAATCCGGCTTGGTTGACATCATCATGATAGGTGGTATTTAGTAGCGTTGGAAGGTAGATATTCAAGTAGTAGACCTCAAACGCAAAGGCGTTTGCACGCTCCGGGTAGTCGTTTAGGCCTTAAAAATGTTAAATTCTAGAATACTCTCAATCGGCTAAAATTTAAAGTCTTGTATAAATAATCTCGTAAACTTAAAGGTTTGCAGTTATTATAGGAGTGTCGTGAGCGTCTCGTTACCCGGGATGTCTCGCTACGCAGGGACGGACTTTGCACACAGCAAGGATCTCGAAACGCGGGAGCTCAACCGGATACGAAGACTTACCAAAAGTACGAACGTGCACAGTTATCGACCAAGAACCAGAAGCTAGTCCCTCGATTCTCTATCAATGGCGCAAATGCATCCAGTGCTGTCATGCTGTTCGGAGAATATCGATGCAGGTTTGCCGACCCAAAGGCCTGGATTCTTATATCCGCGACCCTCCGTCTCCTGATGATCCTCACCCAGAAGATGAATACACGCAACGAATCGATCAATGCGCGCATGTTCGTCGGGATTATTGGCATTACCATCCGCGGAGAGGCGGATGCGTGCCCGGCTGATGAGCGGGCCATTGCGTGTTACGTCAATGGAGTTGTTCGTGTGACCGAAGATCAGCGATTCCTCGTATGTCTAATCACGATGTTGCGGTCACACTCGATTTGTCTATCGTCTTAGGAAATGGAGGTTCATTGTGATATACCTATAGAAACCAGGTTGAGCCCCACTCATGCAGTGTGATATTGCGTCGGGATGAATATCGGAAAAGGGTCCAGTATGGTGTTGAACTATACGCCGCTGTTGAGAGCACATATGTACTGAAGTGGTTATGTAAGACTGTGGTACCTTGCATGACTTCCCCGCTCATAGAAATCTCGCGTTGGAAGCGAGAAAGCGGGTGGTAAGCTTTGTGGAGCTGGAAACATGGGGACAGGGGGACGAGCATTCGCATACAGGTGTGGCGTCGGCTCCAATAATTTTATACAAGAGAGTTCGGTAGTCGCTCTCGTTTGTTTCAGCACCGCGGAGATATGACTCCGTGGCTGTACCAAACAACTAGAAACTTTGGCTGGTTCCCTGGTCTGAAGTATTTTGGTATATCATACTGCTCAGCTTATATCATATACTTGCGATACGGACTGAAGTAAGACTTACAGAATATTATGCAGCGACTCAATGATATACTTGTAGTACTATGGCTGTGCATATAGATCTGTTGAGTTTTCGCATATTGCTTTTGGCAAGTGGCGTTACTAGTATTTTCATAGCGTGTAATGAACGACGCGACGGCGCAATGACGATCACGACGAACCTGTTGTCAGTCCCCGCGGAGAGAAATGCCGCGACTCAATTTTTACGCACGACTTCTAGCTGGTGCCTAATGACCGATCTTTCTGCTCTGCGTATTGTTAACTGTGAGGCGTCTTAGCTGAACAACTTGTGGCAACCCCAGACCCTGACCCAGGCGCAATCGGATGATTGCTCACGGATCAGCAGCTAGTCGTGTTAGCGATCGGTTTTGACAGCCGTCCGTTACCCGCTCCCCGCTGGCACGGTGCAGCATGACCAACACGATTTGGAGTAGCCTTTAGGTCGTGTGGAGTAGTTTGATAGTGCCAACCTTCAGACACGTATACGAGGCCTGTGATTTCGTGACATAACAGCATGCATAATTGCGCCCGGCAACATGAGTATTGCAAGCGAAAGAAGATTGGGCAAACCTAATTTTTCTTTTCTTGCGCGATCATCTTGCGGGCACTCAGATACGCAGCATCTCCCACATACATGGAAAGAGATGCGCAAATGCTGCTGTTCTAGACCATCAATCAGTCGATCTAAGCATGACTAGGATTTAATCCCTGGTACCGAACTACGAATTCATGCACGAGTAAGTAGTTCATCAGCACCTTGTCTTATCCGATACATGTAAAGGCCCGGCCAGAAAAAGCAAACGTCTATCGGAAAGGGCCCTGAAGGGACGGAAGAGTTACATCAGTATAGGAGAAGGCTCAGCTCTGGTACATATGTGTCAGGACACAACACCATGATGTGCACCAAAAACATGGGGATGAACCAGTCTCCAATTAGCTGTCTGCATGGCGCAGGGGCCAGGCCTCGCGGGGGGGGGGGGGATCGCCTGCGGATAGTGTCCCGTCCCGTCGCGTGGGAGACCAAAGGAGGCCCCCGCAAACCTTATGCCAGCTAACATCTCAGTCGCCACCGGAAATACGACTGTAATATGTCTTTTAAAAGAGCATTTTCCCTATAAGACTTGGGGGGGTGCTGGGTTCGCTCTACTATCTGGCATCGTTCCACGACCAACAACCACTCGACATCATGGGTCTTCCGCTTCCTCAACAACTAAGAATACCATGCGCCTTCCTAGGTGCGCTGGGTATCGTCACTTTTGCGCTTCGCTGCTTCGTTCGTTTGCGTATCGTTAAAGCCTGGGGTCCTGATGATACGTTTATCACTCTTGGGTTTGTATGTTAACCCAGCTTGACATCCCTTGCCACTTCGTCATCATACTTACAATCTGCTAGATTATGCACATGTGGTACACCGGGACTTTGTTGACAGGCATTCACTATGGAACAGGTCAGCGGACCTCGGAGATATCTGTAACGGACTCAGTACATGCTATGCGTGTAGGTTTACAATCGTCCTGAAAACAAGTAGTGTCTGACTCTCCATCTAGTGTTGGTGGCTATGCTTCCTAGCATACGCATGTTCAATCACCCTGGCCAAAATATCCGCTGGTTTCTTCTTCCTTAGGGCCACAGGCAGCAAGCCAGTTTTCCGTATCACGACCTACGTTATCACGATACTCGCCGCAGTGGTCGGCTTCGGCTTCTTCTTCCTCAGTGTTTTCCAGTGCCTACCAGTCAGCTTTTTCTGGACCCGCTTACATGGAGATACTAATGGCAAATGCCTGGATATCGAAATCATGATAATAGCCACATACTTTTACGGAGCTGTCACTGCAGGAACAGACATAGCTTGGGGCATCCTGGTCGGAGCACTCATCTGGAAATTGCAAATTGACCGCCGCACAAAGATTTTGACAGCACCATTCCTAGGCCTGGCATGCATGTAAGTCAAAAAAAGATTCTTTATAAAAGCCCAGTAGATTAACAAGAAAAACAGTGCAAGTTACGCTGCCCTTGTGCGAATGCCCTACGTTGCCAACTTTAGAAAACCAGACTTCCTCTGTAAGCACACCCCCAAAAATACACACTCTATCCAATCCTAACCACTTCCACCTCCTACAGACGCAACTGTCGAAATCTCCATGTGGTCCACAATCGAAGTGGGCGTCTCCATCTGCGCCGCCAACCTCGCCACCATCCGTCCCCTAATCCACCACTTTACCCACAAAGGCGAGTCCTGGGAATCGCGCCAGAACAGGCCGGGACACGCTGAATTAGCAACCATACCAGATGATCAGGAACTTGCTACACTGAAAGTACCACCACCAAAGACTGCAGAGAGCTCGATTTCCTCCACGGATCCGAAGGGCAGTAATGGCGAGAGTGGAATTACGAGGAGCGTGTCGAATTGGAGTAGGTGGACGAGGAAAGATAGTGCGGCGAACGTGGATATCCATGTTCCATGACGCCCGTATCTCGGTTAATGAATAAGGCGTAAATCATTTCCAAACTTCGTACAATATAGTATTTCAGGTGGCCCTTTCAAACTGAAAGTTGTTTTGCCCCTTTATTGATCCGCGGCCTTGTTTGAATCCTCGCCATCCCCTTTCTACTCGTCTTTGCATAATGGCACATAGCTGATCCAAGCAAGCGCCCTTGTCGCGCCTCCATACAGTTTATTTCCTAGATCACAATAGGCACGCGTCTTAGCTTTTGGCACTCGCTTCCGCGCTAGCTCCAGCGCTTTATCGTGTGTTTGGTCTGTGGGAGCGATAGCGTCGACGATTTTATCTGCAAGGACCTTTCGGGCCGTCCAGCGCTGGGCCTGGGGTAGTAGCGTTTTGTGGGTAATGTTGGGCCGCAGCTTAGCGCGGAGTGAAGTTCTTATGCTTTGAGAGTGCATGCCGAGATTTATCGGCTTCTTGCTATTGAGTCCATGTATATTAGGGTCTGGTACCAAATATTCCACGAGGATGCTGTTAACTCATCATGCAGCTTTCCAGAGTAAGCCTAAGGTCACTGAAGGTAGGGAGAGGACCCGATCTAGCGGGGACTAGATCTACTTCTTGAAAGTGATTAAGGAGAAAAACACAGCTAGGCTTACATGAGTAATCATACCATCATTTTCCTAAAATGCTGAGCTGGTATTAAAGTTTATACCTCTTCTTCCCCAGCCTGATCTTCTTAAACCCTCTCCGCGGAATCCCCAACACCTGCCTCTTCAACCCCCCCAATCAACTCCGCCATCAGACTCAGATCAACCTGCCGCTTCATCACTAACACAAGAGGCTTCTTCGTCTCAAGCAAGATCGAACCCACCAGATGCTCTTCCAAAATATCATCAACATGAGCAACTAGTCGCTCCCTTAATTTCTCATCCCCGCCTTCACCGCAATCCTCCAAGATCTTATCGACAAACCCCACGCCAAAAGGTCATCTGCCAAATCTTTCGACTCTTAAGCAGCGCCCCCATCGCCTTACTCACCCCCATACGCCTCACAAATCCTACTAAAGCGCTGCCTTCGTCGATAAGCCCGAGGCTCGTAAAAAAGGGGGTGAGAAGGTAAGTGTGTGGTGCGCAAAAGACGAAATCAACAAACGAGATTAGGGCCGCTGCAATGCCTACGCCAGGGCCATCCAGAGCCGTCACTAGAATCTTCGAATGGGCGTAAAATGCTTCGGTGGAGTTGAGGGTGTGCGCTACCGTTTCCCTGAGGGAATCCCGCCAGATATCTGCGCCGGGTTGAGATGTCTATTCCACTGGGCGATTGAGTTAGCGGTGATATGTGGAGGAAGAGATTGTATATACTTACGCGCTGAAGAATCTTCTCGTTCCTGTGAGGATGGTAATGAAGACTTCATCGTGTGTGTCTATTTCCCTCAGGCGCTTGGTTAGAGGTAGAACTCTTTTTTTTGTTACAGCTCCGAGCTTTTGGGGGCGGTTGATGGTGAGAATTGCGGTTCTACCTGGATATTCTACTGTGATGTATGATTCTCATGCTTCAGGCGGATCAGTCAGGAGGACTTTTAGAGCTTCTTCTTTTCAATCATTACTGATGTTATTTTTTGATCTAAGTTCTAGAAGAAGCAACCATTTCTGGTCAAACATGTCAAGAAATCAAAGACTGGCAATATCACCTGCGACCAACTTGTTCTTATGGTTACATAATTGACACCGGAATCTTAGTTATTTGGGATTTTCCCTTCGGTGTCCAGGTAAGTAATGTAGTCATAACTTTGGTCGGGCAGATCCCACACTCAAACATTGACATCACCAGCCTACCAACCATCCTCCCCTAATGTTGGCCCAGGACCTTGACCGAATCTTTTCTTGTATGGACGTCTCAAAGCTTCAGCTGCTGCATTTTTGTCATCAATATTGGATTTCGTTTCTCAGCAATTCACTCGCTCTGAACGAATTGATCCCTGTGAAATAGTAATAATATTTTTTTCAACATTTTCTAAGACAAGCTTATTTACTCTTCCAATGCCAAGACGAAAACCATACCTTTTATAGACGTTTTCCCCTTGGAAATATTGGAGTACAAAGCATTCACAACATCTATCATAACAACCATACGAGCACTAAGAGTACTGCTGCCCAGCAATAGGCTGAGAAACCTCAAGACTCGAGAGACCGCAATGCGGCGTAGGAAAATACTGCTGATCACCCTGCAACATGAAAGCACCCCACTTGAGTTCCTTCTCCCAGGGCGCAACTTCATACGGCCTTGCATAACAAGATGCTGCAATCGCAGCGCTACAAGATCCCACCAGGGGAGCAGGACTCAATTTCTTCCTACCCAAGATAAATATACCAATCGCCAAAACGAGAGCGACGATTATCGAAAGCAAGATACCGAGTGGCGAAAACGATAGAGAAATAAAGTCCTCTCCACAGCTATCACTGTAGGTATTGCCATTGGGTAAAAGGAACTCCGGGTCCCAATGCTGGCATCCCCCAAGCGCATTATGTACGCCGTGCATATTATACAACTCTACCGAGACCACGAACAAGCTTTGCGACGCCAGCCAGTGCAGCAGCGTCGAGAACCCCAGCAGCGGCAATGCATAACGATACGGAAGCTGCAGGAAATACGTGCTGCGCTGGTGTCCGCGGCGAGTCGTCGAAACGCGGAGTGGCTTGTACCGAGTAAAGAACGCGGACCACTCGTCTCCAAGCAGCATCGACGTGATGGCGGCGTTGTAAGAGAAGTAAATGAGGGATATGATTACTTGAGGAGAGTTTGCTACAAAGACGTTTGAGAAGACGCCAAGGAGGCCGGACGAGGCAGTGCCGTTTTGCACGATGGTGCGTGGATCGACGTTGCCAAGACCGATGCCGAGGATACTGCTGAGGCTGTTGTCGCCGTTGATTGAGATGTAGGCGTAGGCGAAGAGGAAGATCAGGACGCAGATGCCCATGAATAGGCTGTGGTGGGGAGTTAGCGGGGGGAAGTATGTTAAGGGGGATAAGTAGATGCTTACGCGATACGAACGGTCCATCGCTTTCCCCTCTTGACTGCTGAAGACCATCTGCTAGAGTTCATTGTAAATGTCCTCGGTTGCTGCTTTGCTGGCCAATTTTTTCTCGCTGTACGGATATCTTGCTGGGACACGAGGCACATGTTGTGGGCTATCGTGTCCGGCTCGCGAAGAAACGATGCCACTGCATCTCCAACCGTCAACATGGGGTCGTTGCGAAGAGCGAAGAGACCGACTAAAATGGTACATATCTTCACCACATTGAACGCAATGACTATCGCCATGAGATGAACACTAAAACTCATCTTGCATGTTGGGCCTGTGGGCTCGCTGAGGCAACTTCGCACTGGGTGGCCAGCAAACGGTGCCCATATCGATGGATTCTCCTTGAGTCGAGGCAAGAAGCGAGGTGCTTGCTGCTCGAAGCAATAGCCAGCTTCACCTTGAAATTGTCTGTAGATCCATGACGTGCCTGTGTCAGTCGAGCAAGTACCGGTGCGTTCAATGTAGTTGAATGCGCCGTAAATCTCGTCGGCTCCCATGACACCTTCGTCAACGACAAGGAAGATATTGCCTCTTGCTGATTGGAAATTAACACTGTAAGCATCGATGCATTCGCGGAGCGTGAGGTTCTGAAGCCGTCCTGATTTGAAAGCTTCTGAGTAGAGTTGACCGTTTACATACGGGTTGCTGGTATAACCACCCGTATAAGTACTGTTCATTGTGCCATTGAAAGTCCCGTTTTCTATCGCGGCCTTTGCCTCAGGGCCAAATTCAATGACTCCGTATGTCTGGGCTGAGGTGGACATGAAGACTACCGAGTTGTAGCTATTGAGCGTTAGTGTGCTTGTTGACGAGTTTGATCATCAATACTGCATACCAGAGATGCAAGGGAAACGAAGACAGTCCCAGAACCCACCAGCAAATCTTCTTGCGCGTTCCAAAACTAGACGACATTATGTTTCTCATGCTAGGTATACCGACGTCGAGCCAGTTCCCTTTATGATGTGCGTCTTCGACTTCAGATCGGGTGGGAGCTGAAAGACATTGCATGCAATAATTACTCGCACCTAGAATCGCGGTGCTTAAAATATTGATGAGCAAATGTACACCAATGTTAACCTTCTTGGTGTAATCGCAGGTTGCTTCGTAGAGTATGCCAACACCGTTTGTCGCACCTTTTGTACGCAGTGCCCAAACTAGGAAGCCGGTGTTGATGCAGAGGACTGCAATTCCTAGTAGTACAAACATATACAAGCTCTTTCGCCATTTCTGTGTTTCTTTTCGCACCTGAATCGTCCCGTTGACGTTGTTTCCGTCGTGTGTCAGGAAAGGCTGCAAATGCGCCTCTGGTCGCTTCGACATATGCGCTTGGTACATAGTAGCATCATAGAAGAAGCTTGAGGTGGGATGAAATGCAGTATAAAAATGTGGGGGGGGGAGGGCGGAATTCTACGCGCCATAGCAAGATATATGCAATGCCACGATGCATGGAGGCTTGAAGCTTTTCCAGCCTCGCGCCATGGCGTGCGGCTGATGGTCAGGGGTGCTCATGATGCCAACAAGTAATTGGGCGCCAGCTAACGCCACAAGGGCACTGCTCGCTTCTAACTGGCCGCTCTCTATTGGGAAGATACAGCTAATGCAGGCTGCAACAATACACGCTCCAGTGATTAATTGCTAATAGATCAAAGCGACGACCTTTTCACAGCCGCACTGAACTACATGACACGTGCCTACACCGCCTTTGGTGAGTATTTGCCGCCCGTACCTTGCAGCTATAGATGCACGTGAGGGTCTGGAAAAAATGATTGCAACGATTTGCAGCCAAGCCGTGGAAATGCTTGATATAAAAAGACAAAAGCTTCGTTTTACTAGTTGGAAAACGACTTTATAGGACCACATAACAAGATAGGTCATGTACACATATCACACTTGAATCTTTATCAATTCAAATTTATACTACAAAACTAAAAGCAGCTGATTGTTTAGTAATTCTTCAACCTCCGCTAGCTTAATCAAAAACATCCGTCGCAAATCTCTCATTGCGCAGCCCCTCGAACCACTCCTTAGCCTTTGCATCATCCACCTCTCTGTTTTCCTTCTTTCCAATCGTCTCCTTTGCAATCTTGATCAGCGTCTCCTGCACTCCATCACCAACACCACGAGATCCGCATACGAATACCTTGGCACCGGCATTGAAGAGTTCGACAACATTTGCGCGATCGTGATAGATGCGGTCTTGGACGTACTTGCATCCATGTGTCTCTTCAGGCTGCCGCGAGTAGGCGAGGCGAAGAGAGACTGCGCCCATGGCTTCCCAGCGCTTGAGCAGGTCGCCGTAAATTAGGTCAATTGAGGGTGAGCGGCAACCGTAAAACAGAATTGCGGGTGCCAGCTTGCGGCCTGCTGCTGCTTGAGCGGCACGTTCCTGGATGAAACCCCGGAAGGGCGCCAGACCCGTTCCAGCGGCGATCATGATGACGGGAACATGCTGCGAGTCTTTGGGAAGATGGAAAGCCTGATGCGAAGAGCGTACGTTGACATGGAGTTTGTCACCTGGCACAAGGTTGGCGAGGTAGTTTGTTGCTACACCCACATACCGTCCGTGTCCGCTAAGGGCTGGCTGGTCGACCACTGAGTAAGTCAATGTGACGTGATTCGGGTTCCATAGAGGCGAAGACGAAATGGAGTATTGTCGAACACGCATAGGTGGTAGCATCTTGAGGAAGATACCGAGGGGCAGCTTCGTGGATGGGAAGCGCTCCAGGAGATCTAGCACCGAAACTCGTTTCGCGGTAATCTCTGAGCTAAAGGCTTCGTCTGCAAGACGAGTGAGCTCCTTCTTCTCGGCCTCGTCCCGGGTGCTTTCGATGAGGGCTTGGACATTGCGTTTGCTGGCAGGTTGTGCAAGTTCAACATATGCCCCGAAAACATCGGTAGCGCTGATGGGGGTATCGGTCGGGAGGATAGTTGGACCAGCGGAATTGATTGTCAGCATTGAGTCCCAAGTGAGACCAAAGTATCTCATTGCGCGATGGATGTTCTCCTTGGGGTTGAGAGGTAAGACGGCTAGGTAATCGCCTGCAGAGTATGTCATATCAGACGGCAGGCTGATCTCAATGTGCCTTTTCTCTGTGGCATCAGAGCTGGAAAGAACCTCAACCTCCTCAACACGAGCCTCACGAACATCTTGGCGGAGCGTAGACGATCTTGGGGCAGTGACCTCGACATCGAGTGTCGTCTCCAAGGAGCTTTCGGCATCCGCCTCTGTAGAACCATACTTTTCGCGCAAGGCAGGCCACAAAACTTGATCCTCCCATGTCTCGAAATCAGTGAAGATGTCGCCAGCTGCGACGTCAGTGCTACCCATTGGCACCAATCTGGTAGCGCCTCGCTCCTCCAAGGTAGCGTCAAGATATTTTGGAACCTTGTGGAAAGTCTTCGCCCAGTCGCGGTGGCCGCATCCGAAAACGGCATATGAGACATTCTCAAGTTCTTTTTCTTTGAGTGTGCCTACCCAGTTGACGAAGTGTGCGGCATTATCAGCAGGCGCTCCTTCGTAAGATGGTGTCACAATAACAACAGGCTTGTCGGTAGGGAGATTGTCGCGAGCAGTGTCCAATGTGTTTACCACATCTACCCTGAAGCCATGGTTTGCAGCATCGCTAGCTAGTCGATTTGCAAGTGCTTCGCAAGTACCAGTGTTGGATCCATAATAGATAGACATAGGCTTGCCATTGGTAGTCGCGGCTTTTTTGACAGATTCACCACTGGCTGGAGCTGATTCATTGATGCTTGACGAGGTTAGAGATCGTTCAAGCGAGGTAGGAGATATGCCGTTGCGGAGATGTGCATGCATATAGAAGTCCTTTGGCTTAATAGTGAGCGTTTGCTTGATCTGGAGTTGATACGACGAGTCGTCCATTGTGAAGTTGAAATTCTGCAAAAGGATGGCAAGCACCAAAAGAGCCTCTTGCCAAGCGAATGGCCTGCCGATGCAAGCGCGCATGCCGTTACCGAAAGGCTTCCAGCAGTCGGGGAACTCCTTGTTGCGTCGTTCGAACTCTTCATCCAACATTCGTTCTGGGCGGAACTCCTCCGCATCTTCGCCATAGACAGCAGGATCACGATGTAACTAACGTAAGAGGAATTAGTTGTTTTGCTACGATCGCGAATTGGCAGAATTTTCTTACCATTGGGAGCAGTGTGACAATGGGAACACCGGCTTTGACGGCATATTTGCCTCCAATAGTTGTGTCCTCCTTGGCAGTAATTCCGAAAGAAGGAGCGGTCGGTTGTAGGCGCAGACTTTCCCGAAGCACCGCGTTGAGGTATGGGATCTTTGACAAATGCTCGACTGTGATTGGACCCTTACCAATGACCTCGTCCACCTCTTGCTGAGCCTTTTCGTAGGCTTGGGGGTTCTTCAGCAGGAAATAGAATGTGAAAGAAAGCAAGCCTGATGTAGTTTCGTGACCAGCAATCAAAAAAGTGATCATGTTGTCAATCACATTATCATCCTGTTGATGTTAGTCAAAGTTTCCGAGAAAGGCCAGGAATGGTTTACATACAGTCATTTTCTCGCCCGTCTTTGGGTCCACACCACTAAGCATACCGTTGAGCAGATCTTTCTTGTCGGTGGGATTTTCTCTCCTTGTCTCAATGACTTCCAGACTAGTCTTGCGCAGCAATTCTATATCTCTCCAGTATTTCTGGGTCTCTGCACCATAGAACATTTGAGAGATGGGGTCCCTTCTCGCCCGGTCGCCACTGGTTCTCAAAAAGTCGGCCATAGCATCGATGAAAGGATGCATGCGTTCAGAATAATATGAGTTGAAGCGATAGTCCATAGCACACAACGCAATGGTATCCAGTGTCAGTCGTGTAAAGTCGTCAGTGACGTTTATGACGTGTTCAGGTCCGTGTCTCGCCCACTTCATCACCAACTGAGAAGCAATATCGTGCATCTCGTCGAACATGTTGCGGATAGCGAGTGGACCGAGCTGGGGCATTAGTATGCGATGTGCAATACCCCAGTTCTTCTCTTGTGGTCCATATGCTGTGAAGAGTCCATCGTGGACACCATTGCGGACCTGATCTAGAGAAGCTGCAATGATTTTTGAGAAACGTTCCTCGTCGCAAATTTCGTGCATATGGCGCTGGTCGGCAACAACGATACGCTCGCCGCCCAGCCAAAACTTCCATACGGGGCCTGGAATGATCAGTAGCTTTCTCGTAAATTGGATGCAGTGTTACACGGAGTATAGGAATATAATAAGTTCAAGGTTTCCTTGCATTTTTTGCTTTGCCTATGATTTCCATTGGGTGTGCATTGGAAAACTGTGGGAAGGTCTCTGGGATATCACTTACCATATTTCAAGGTCAAGTTGCACAATGACTGTATGGGGCAGTTTGCGTCGATATCTGCAATGTTGCCAACAATGGGCAGGCCGGGAGGGCCTGGGATTGGCTCAAGCTCCATTTCAGCAACACAAAAACAGCAAAGTAGTGAAAAGGTAAAGAATGAAGAATGAAACGAAGGGTATGAATGGTCTTGGTGGTGGTATGGTTACAAGTATACCGGATATGCTGTGAACAGTGTGTTCTTATATAGGACGGATGAAGATAAGAAGAAAAATCTCAATTGCAGCACGTCGTTTACCAGATGACGCACTAGGATGTGGCTAGGTTCTCTGTGCGTTCCAAGTGGTACCCTCTCCTATGTTGGGACCTATTGATGCTTGAGAAAGATGCCTCGGTCGTCAAGGAGAACGTCTAGCACGGTGATTCGTTGTTGCTGACTAGGGCGGTCCTCCGACTGTGCGCTAAGGTGGGGCACAACATGCAAGAAATGGCTCGGCCGTGATGGAGTCAATGCGAAAAGTGGTGTGAAGTCGGAATTGACTGACTGTCGGTGTCACATTGTCACTGGTGATAGCGAGATGATGTGTTTTGGGAAGTCAATGTCCTGGGGAGAATGGAACAAGGTCAACGTCGTGGCGGAGAGAAAAAGAGGGACGTGTCGATCCTGACGCCATGCCAGCGCAATTCTCGTGAAGACATTGGTCCATGTCAATGCTGGTTGCCATGCACATGCACATGGCTTATTGGAGTAACTCTGGCTACTGCGGCGACGTTTAGGGTCGGAGGTTCCGTTGGCACCGATGTGCCGAGGCTGAGTTGAAGGATTCGTCTGTGTGTGCGTGTTCGTGCTGTCGAAGTCGCGCCGGAGATCTTGGCAGTCGGAGGCGTCGAACTTTGGACACTTCCGCCGTTTGGTTTCATCTTCACACGCCCACCGGCCATGGTACTCTCTCTATGTAGTAGTATGCTGTTGAGCGGGCGGTGGGCGGATAGCGTCT